TGTGCTCGGACCCTAAATAGTTGCAGAAAATAAACTGCACAATAACGATATTTTGCAGATGTGCTTTTGATAGATTCATTTAAGAACGGAAACCTCTACAGTCACGGTGTCTGTTTGCAATGTTACATCCTACTATTTTACCACATACTAATCTTTATAGGCTGTTTTATAATAAAGGGTATATACTTGTGATAGTTGTGAATTTAATGAATGCCTTCATCAGATATTTTTAACAGACAATAGTTTGGTTGTCTATTTGATTTACCTACAACATTCACACTTACTTGTTCCTGTCTCTCGTTTTGCTGACTGTAGCACTACCTCAGCTCAGGCCTCGTCATGTTTCCACTGAAACAGTCAAGCAGCTGCTCTGTATCAGAAACAAGGCCACTAACCAGACCTACATTTTCAGAATTACTCAGCCACATTGAAGTTAGTTGTCTTCCTTCCTTGAGTCTTTTCTCCTGTAAATAATACATCTGAAACAGTTTTTAAAGGGGACGTGTTTATTTCCAGCTCTACATTTTTATTGTAGGATTCCACTAGTGTAGCTTTGGATGATTAGGAGTCAAAAAACAAAGTGTTTCTCTCATATTGCCTGTCATGCAGCACCTCAGTTGAGCCTGAAATAGGTGATATAAGCTCAGGCCCCCCTCCCTAAAAGACCACTCTCTTCTGATTGGCCAACATCTGGAAGCCTTTCAAGGGGCAACACCCAGAGCCTGTGAGCACCACTTTGTCCTCTTACTAGTGTGGATGTTCAAAATTAAAACTACTAACCAACTAAGTATCGAAGTTTCTCATTCTTGATTGGCAATGGCAGCTTCTTAAATCCATTCTTATGTGTCTGAACCGAATCCAATCTGACATGTGGGAGTGGACGGCACAAACATCCACATTAACAAAGATTACAGCAGGATGTCTCATTTTGGTAAATACTACACTCATAACAGTGGATTTAATCAAGCCATATGTACATGTTTTTCTCACATATGCCCCGTTAATCAGTGTATCTGTGGGAAATGCATTAAAATGCTGGCTAAAGTGGAAAACATAGGGTAACGTAGCTAGTTAAAAGTTACCAAATGTCTATTGAATCTCCCTGCACCATCAGTTATTTGTATAGTGGAGTACATCAAATATCAGTAATATTACTCAAGTAGACTGTTTTGTAAGAACAAACATAGAAGACTGTAGTTTGATCAGTGAGTGTCACTGCATCTGGAGCAGAAATCTGAGATAAGCTGACATCTGCTTGAATGATCATGAAATCATACGTCTTCTTTAAGTGCAGCATCTTCTTCACCTCAGTGTGGTCACTTCATTGTAATGGATTTATTTCTGGGGACAGACATCTACAGCATGGACTGTAAATATTACGTAGTTACATGTATGGAGGTATTTTATGGTTGGAACTGGAGTGGGTTTTTTTTTTTCCTCCAGTGGCCACAGAGCACAACAAAGAGCCCATCTTACATACATTTGACAAGCCAGGTGAGATCTCAGCTGCAACTTCAGTGTTTTTAAATGACATTTTTCACTTTAAACATCAGTGTATTAAGTGAAGCGAACACTCCCCCTCGTTGTCCATTTGTCCCAGTGGTCACTTGTGGTATTGCAACAAAGAAAAATCCCCTGTAGCCTAAAAACTATTTTTGTCTAGAAAGCTGCTGACAGGTCACCCTCACATTATGAATTTTTAATCTGTGGGGACTAAATGCTTGAAAAGCCTCCCCAGCTCCTAGAAAAGTGAATTTTATTTTCTTGAGGTCGTCACACTGTAAAGTCTGCGAGCAGAGCAGGACGCAGTAGGTGAAGCCGGCTGCAGGAAAAACTAAAGCACGTGTGCAACGTTTTCTGCCACATGCACTGAGTGAATAGTTTTAATTTAAGTCAGCAGGTACCATCTTAAAATCCAGTTTCCAAATCTCCGTAATGCATCCATAGCTTTTACAAGAGGAAGCTTAAAAAATGGCCACTGTTGGTTGTTTTCCAGATGTCTGTCTGCACAAACTACATTAAAGAGCAGCACAAACCCAGTTGAGCTCTGTTGGGTGTTTTGATCTTTTATAAAAACAGGCATTTTCCCAACATAAGGTCACACTTAACCTCTGTACAGTCACAACGCTGTTTTCACTATTTTATCCAATAAACCTCCAAATTGAGCCTGAGTAGAGATACCAAAGGGGGCACACACATCAGTCACAATTTAAAAATTAAAATTCAAGTCACTACTCGTCAGATACGACATGGAGCTGTGTATATTTAGAAAAAGATTTATTACAGTATTTGACTGGTACAATACCTTTTTTGTAAAATAATCAGTCATACATCTACAAACAATCCAAGAAATAAACACAGGTGTTTACAGTTTTAGTCTACAAGGCCTCAAAACACACCAGTTAGTAAGAAGAGAGAGATCCGCAGAAGCTGGTCTGTGTTGTAATCACTTGGGACTGTTGGCGGATTTACCCAGCAGCAAACCATCTGTCCACTAAAAAGCTCTCTGTGACCGACATTTCATCCTTCAAGTGGCATTTTGAACCCAGAGCCAAATCTGGTCACAAAAATCCTGCACACGTGACAAATTTATCTAAGCAAAAGTTATTCTGGAGTGTTTTTTTTTTTTTTCTGTTGTAACCACCAATTCACAATCTAATCCTCCTGAGTGCCTCGTTATGCTCTTCTCTGCCTGGACGTCATGATTGGTCGAGTTTGGAGTCAGTCTGGAACGGGTGGATTTTTCGAAAAACTGTTCATTAACAACCCCCAATACATTTTTTTTTTTTTTTAACATCCAGTTCTTTACTCTTAATTCTTCTCCAAATTGCCCAATTTTTCATGAATTCAGAAAACCAGCCCAGTTGCTGTAAGCTGGGCAACGAAGCATTTTAAAAATCTGTAGTTATACAATATATACAAGTGGAGGAAGAGTCTCCTCAGCTTATATAATCAAAACTTGGATGCACATGGTTTTCACTGACATTTATTTTACCCCAGACAGGCTCATAAATGCAGTAATTATACTGCATTATGTTGGGATGAGGATGAATATCTTAAGGTCATGTGAAAGACAATTTCTCCCAGAGCTATCAGTAACTATTTCTGGTCCACAAAGGCATCCTTCAGACAGTGTTTGACGATTGCTCACTTGCCATCCCACCACCTCCTGCCTCAAACGTATTGATATGCATACACATAAAGACGTTCACACAGTGTGCACGGGAGATGCAGCAATCTGAAGTGCATGAAACTGATTTCCCAGCTCTTTAACTAATACTATACCACCCACAGAAACCAACATATGAGAGAAGAGAAGGAAAACGTGATTCAACAGCAAAAAGACAAAACAACAAAAAGCAGAAACAGGTAATAGCTCTGAAATCAACATGAAGGCAAGACTGTGCTGTGTGAAAAGGCAGCTGTCCAGGTGGGCCACTTTACAACCCCGTTGCATTTCACGTTTTAAAGTGTACTCTGTACCCACTGCGATCATTTTTCACTTATCTATTCCAGACTGCCCCAAACTCACTCTCCCGACTGGCATTTTAGGAAATATTTATCAAGTGCAGGAAGCTAAAACTCACTCAGTGTGACCGCTGGAGGGACAGTGAGTCAGTCTAACACAGCTCTCTGCTACCTCTCCCTCTATTTGTGGGTCTGGTTGTGCATTTTTTTACTGGCTGCTCGCCTCCGTCTCTTCCACCTCCTCTTCCAGTTCGACCAGAGCGGCGTGGCGATTGGCCTGAGAGCCCTCGGTGAAGAAAACCTTCTTGATCACACCTGACTTGGGCGCCCGAATTGTGTGCTGCAGAGAGAAAAACGAGGGAAAAATCAATATAAATAGAAACTCAAGTGAAGTGTGTATATCTGTGATTTATAGCTCGCAAGTTTATGTGCGCTCATCATTGACATGGGTGTCATGGTGTTCCTGGACTTTGAATGATTTCTTTGAACTGTTCTTCTGAAGCAGAATGGTTTGGCAGCATACATCTTGATTAGAAAAAGAAACTCAATAATCTGGGCAAAAGTTTTTATGTATTTTGCCACAGCTTCCTAACTTAGTGTCAGTGATCATGAGAGGCTAAAGCAGGTTGCTTTTCTGTTTGACTGCACTTCCTGGATTGACCAACACACAATACAACAGGAAAGTCCAATGAGCTCAGTGTGGATCCTAAAAAATTGATTGTAGATACAGACAAGTCCCGAATATCTTGCAGAGCCAATTCTAAATACCTGCAGATTCCAAAATCAGTTCAAACAAATATACAAGTTATTTGTAGTTGTAGTCACTTTGCCAAGTTCTGGAAAAAGACCCAAATTGTTGTCCTCTGCTGCAAGGAAATTGGTTTGGATGGTTAGGAACAACCCAGGAACCACCAAGACTCAGCGCTGGAGCACCAATGTTGCTGTCTAAAGTAAACTGAGCTTCATATCAGCATGGACTGAGAGTTTGCCATCCAAAAAAGAAGCCCCTTCTCCAAAATCAACACCTTTAAGCTCGACTTAAGTTTGCAACCATATAAACAAAGAAATAGCGCTCTGGGGGAAACTTTAATAGTCAAACGATAAAAAAGTTTGAGCTGTTTGTCACAATAACCAGAGGAATGTTTGAAGGAGTAATGGTAAAGTTTTCAACCCCACAAACACTCTAACAACTGTTTAGCATGGTGGTGGTAGTATTATACTCAGTGTGGAACAATAAAAAAGACGACTACCCCTAAAATCTTCTGCATTGCTTCAAACCATCAATGGTTGGAAGGTGGACACAACTGGGTTTCAACAGGACAGTTGTCTCAGACAGACTAAAGCTGGTTATAAATAAAGCAGGCTAACAATAGGCCTTTAGAGTTGCCTTCACAAAGTCCTGATCTCAACCTTCCACTAAAAATATGTGGACTGTGCTTAAAAGTCCATTCTGTGCCAGAAATCCAGCAAATTTAACTGAACTGTACCCATTCTGCCAAGAAGAAAGGTCAGATGTCCAGTCAGAGTTACAAGTGTGCTGGTGGCTATAGAAAGCATCTGGTCAAGGGGCAACTTGCTCAGGATAAATATTAGGGATATATAATGTTGAACCCTTTTGATTTCAGAAAACCCAAACATTATTAAAGCATGTGCACTAAGTTCTTGGGTTGTAAAGCCTAACATTAAGATGACAATCATGTCCACAGGAAGTGCTTGTAAACGTCCGACCACAGCTGTAGACTGGTTAAAAGGTGAGAATGTGTGTGAGGCAGAGCCGGCATGAGTCCCTCACCTCCATCTTCATGGCAATCATGACCATCAGCGGGTCTCCAACACTCACTTTATCTCCGGCCTTCACCAGCACCTAAAAACAAATCAACAGCGAGTTTTTCTGTATGTGCTGGATGGAGGACATTCAGACTTAAATAAAATAAAGAAAAATCTGACTCATGTCACTCATGAATAATGCAAAAGTAATTTATGTCTTTATTACTTCTTGCTCAGACTGCTGCAATTTCCTTTTCTAATTTGTGGCTGGGTTATCTTCAAATTCATTTCAGTTGTTTGGTCTGCTCTTATCACGTCTGCTTCAGTTTCATTACATTGGCTGACAGTACACGGGAGGTAAACAATAATGCACTCAGAGGTGTCCGCATAAATAACAATAACAGACAAGGTGGAGGCAAAGAATTGCAAGTGCAAGTCAAGTTTAGTATCAGCAGGAATAAGTTACTGAGCTTCTACAACGGCCACAATTAAATTCAAATGGGTTTGTTTCATCGTATTGTTTCAGTGGTTACCTGCAGCATAATGTAGATTGTTTGCTGATTTAGAGCAGCAGTTAAACAAGCTGACAACACTAAAAATCTAATTCCTGATCTTGCATACAAGGTAAAAAATAATATTTCATAATAGCAGGAAACATTTTTTTGCTTCTTACCTAAATTTAAATGAGTAGATTGATGCCACTGTTGTATCTGTGCAGTTATCAACACCTCCAAAGCTAACTAATAAACACACTAATTATGGTGATTGATTAGCATTAAAGGTCCTAGAACAGTGTATGTAGGTGTAATTCTGTGTTTTGGAACGAACCAAGCCAGCTGTTTCCTCCTGCTTTCAGTGTCTGTGCGAAGCTAAGCTAACCTCGTGCTGGTTGTAGCTTCACATTTAATCACACAGCCATGAAAGTGGCATCAATCTTCTCCTCTAATCCTCAGCGAGAGAAGTGACTTTGATCAGGTGTCATTGTTAAACTGAGAAACTTCACAAAGAAAAACATAAGCTGTGGATGAAATTTCTGGAAAAAGCAAAGTGGATGCTTCCCCGATAGAGAAAATAACAATCCTGGAGAACAAAACAACAGTTGTGCTTTGTTTTTTTGGTATTTTTCACCTGCACTTTGCACATTATTTTCACATATTAGGACATCTTATGTAATACCGGTTACACATCATGACACACTAAGAGTGTTTGTGTCTGTAGAGTCAACAATTAGCCGTCCAAATCCCTTTAGCTGTCCCTCTAGTCCCCGAAGAATGAAGCAAGAAGACATTTTAAGCTGATCCCAAATCTGCGGAATAAATGACCTTACTTTGGCTGAATCATTTTGAGATGTTATATTATTACAGTTTGAATTAAAAACTGTAAAAAACTGAAAAAAGTAAAGATTTTTTGGTTGCAGCTTATTATTATCCCCTCAAAAAGTTATCCTAAAGGAATTCAGCATATCCCTTTGGCAAGACAGAAATGAAAGACACTTAAGATTCAAATTGACCTTCTCTATGGTTCCAGTCATGGGGGCCACAGCTCCACCCTGAGCTCCAGACCCGCTCACACCAGCCAGATACTTCGGCACTGGGACGGACACCTGGGAGCTTCCCTCCTGCACGAGAGATGAAAAGATGTCAGAGAGTGAAGTGACAGCTGACTGACAGCCGAGGTAAGAGGATGCCAGCCGGCTTTAATTTCAGCTGATGTCAGACGTTGAGCGTTCGTTAACAGCCGTAAAAGCCATAAAATATGACGGGGCTGGAGTTTGTGCAGTGTCAGGTGAAGATCTCTTTAAACTGACAGAGCAAAGTGTGGATCTGCAGCTTTTACATAATCGGCAATGAACCCGCAATAAATCAGCTGTAAACAGGACAAGCAAGTAATAGCTGAAGACAACACATTTTCACGCTTACTTAAGCTCATGTAGTTAGAACTTAATATGTTTTTCTGAAATTTTTCAAGCAAAAGTGCCAAATGCTGCCTGGTTTTAGATTTTGTAATGTGTGCATTTGCTATTTGGCTTTGCTATCATGTTATGCTAAACTCAACACCTTCAGAAGCTTGGACTATGACACATGACTTGAGGCTAGGGAGGTGATTTATGTTTAATTCAGAGGTTTCGGGGCTACTACAGTGGTTCACCTCTCATCAGGGTTCATCGCCATGGTAACTTCAGCTGCACATATAAGCGGCTCCAGGGCAGGTTATGTTTGAGATAACAGATCAAAAGCACTGCTAAATGATCAACCAGTTCTCTTGGAAAATGACACCAACACTCCTAGACGACCCCATGGTCGATGAGTGAAAGGGACCGCTTTTAGAGACTGTTTAAACCCTGGATGTGAGTCATGTAGATTCTCAGCTTCAGTCTTGCTTCGTTTCTTTTCTTGTTGACTGCAAGACATTTATAAGCTATTTCATTGTTCTGTATGCCTTTATATCACAATCTCATTTAAAAACAGAGGCTGATTAAAGCACTAAATCCTTGTGCTTGTTGACCTTATAAGAGTTGCATTAAGCCTCCTTACTGCTTTGAATGACGTTTTTATATTTGTTCCTTACTTGTTTACATGACCATTTACCACCACCAGGGCTGCAGCTGAGAGAATGAGGTTAAAACTGTTTTGCACTTCATACAAACAGGATAGAGCAGCACATTTAATGGTAGTACATGACTGTAGCCTAATTACAGTCAGAGCTGCTTGTGCCTTAATGACGGGCGATGATACTGATGAGCTTATTAACTTACACATTCACAGCTTGTTTTTTTTTCCAGCTTTCCTTCCTGCTTTGGCTACGGAAGCTGTGTTGCTTTTAGCCTGCAGATTTTTTTTAAAAATTCCTCTTATTAGTTTAGGATTATAGTTTGTTTTCTTGTGAGAATAATGCAGCTGCAGACCTGTTCAAGTTTGCAACCGGTCATCTGGTGCCAACATGGCCCCTTTCATGAGAACCCACTCATAGCTGGGTTTAGAAACCCTGGTTTAACTTAACCAGTTGATAACAACTGCGATGTGATTGCACTTGGACAGCTGAGTGAACAAAAAGATGTGAACTTCTTTTATAGCTCAATCATTTTGGACTTCTGGTTTCAGGAATGTTGTGACAACCATTTCTTACTGCATTCCAAATCTCATTTTACTTACTCTAGTTTCACTTAAAAAGTACGTACAGAAACATTCTATGTTGTTATATTAATGCAGCTTAAGCTTTGATCTTCCTCATATATGAACCAAGCTGTTGTCTGTCTGTGCACTCTCAATGGGTCAAGCTTCTTGATGCTCACATGAGACACATGTAATATTAATTGTGCCGAGAATTGTGGGTCAGAAAAACATGTGGGCTTGGATAGTGTAAAATGCAACTAGATGTAGTCGGACATCCTGGTATTTTTGGAATCCTACATCTAACATACTGAATCTTTCTCTGGCGTATTATATAGTATAATAGTATGGATGTTGGAACCTACCCACTGCTTTCTGCATGTTATGGACCAAACAATAATCTGATAAATTAGATCAATCATTATTTTATTTTGTATTTTAAAATCCTTATTCGCAAAGATTTTTTAAATTTTTTTTTTTCGTTTCTTCCTTTTAATTTAAAAATTGATAAATGTTGCCAGGTTGACACTGTAAAAAAATCACAAGTTTCATTTTCTTGAAATAAACACATATGCCTGTGAAACCGACATAACAGATGGTGATGACTTCTGCTTCACTGACTTAAAGAAAATGAAAAATGCAAATCTGTGTTTATGTACGAAGAAATAACAGCATGTAAATGTAAATTTGGGCCACTGACCCTGTGTTGGTCAGCAGCAGCGGTAGGAACGTACCATGGAGAACAGGTGCACGGTGTTGTTCAGGATCACCAGTTTGGGACGGGACTTCACTCCATTGACTGAACAGTGCAGGAACGAAGCTCCACCTTCCAGCTCCACCTCCCCTGTTACATGGTAAACCTCCTCACCAACCTGACAGAAGAAAGTGAGAATAGATTAATATGTAGAAAGATGAACCAGTACAGTTTCTCTTCCAGATATAATAAACTCCTACTACTACTACTACTAACCAAACAAGACCATTAGACCTCCTGCACCTGTTTACCATGATTTCCACTTTAACACTTACATTAAAATGTAAAATTAGGACCTTGGGAGACATATTGTCATCTATGTTTATACTACCTTTTCAGCTTAGTATACTATGTTTATTACACATTTTGAGGTATTTTTATTGTAAATCACAAAAAGAAAGTACCTGCATGCTGTAGCTTCCATCTTTGCTGTACGTGATGACCACATCGACTTCTACAAACACAGACAAGAAGAAATGATTAGAAAAGAGTCTTCAGTTAAAAATCATTGTCACAGAGATCGAGCAGCAACCGAGGGGCTTATTTTTGGTCTTGCAGTGACATGTCTAATAGAAACATTGAATAATGAATGTGAGTTCATCAATAAACTGTCACACACCAGACCAACCTTTAACTTAATTATGCAGTCATTAAATAAATTATAATTACAATTATGAGCCCACCCCCACTATACTCATATGCTAATTAAAACGCACACACTGTATCATTTCTTCAGCTAATTTAACACAAGATTTAACTCTTCACGGTCATTCTGTACCTCTAAAGCACTTAAAACACCATCAAGACAAATGATCATGTCACTACATAAATAATAACACCAAATTTATTCATGTATATGTATAATAAGTGTGTAAATTGCAGATTAACACACTGTTCATATGCTAGTGAGTTTGCAATCATCTGTACATGTAGGTAGATATATATACACATGTAAATACATGAAGGGCTGCATGTAGTCATGTGTATACATATGTTTAGAAATGTTTATACTTTTTAATTGCACTTTTATTGTGCGTTGTACGCTAGTAGTCCCAGCAAAGTGTTTCATTGTGCCAGAATGCACTGCTGCTAATTCACATGACTATCTCCAGTTGGCTGCTGTTGCCAACCTAAAATCAAGTATTGCTTGAAGCAGAGCAAGATTTTCAAATGATTCTGGTTACCTGTTTAACTGACAGCTGGAGAGGGCCACAATGAACGCTCCATTCAAACTCATAACTTCAACCTCATTACATAAAGTTGTGGTAAAATAATACATTAAGAAACTTAACAGTTTTCCATCATTTTTCAACACAGAAATGCCAAATATGGTACAAATGTGAGGATTTGCTGATTTGCTTTTCTTTTGTAACTGAACTATGTTCAATTTCAATACAAAGTCAACTTCGAAATAATACAAATAAACATCAAAAATGACATTATTAATATTAAATAATGCATTCAGTTGTTACAGTTGTATCTGAATTGTAATTTAGAATCTTTGTTCAGGAGCTGGAAATATCAGTCTGGCTTGTATTTAGTAGAAAGGAATCCTACTTTTAACAACAGAGAAGTAAAACGCTTCTCAGCTGTAAGACAACTTTTCATAGTTTTTTTATCAGGATTCTGGCTGTCCATCCTGTTCTTCTCCTTCTATTCTCTACATTCCCTCCCGTCCTGACCACTAGTGGGCAATAACACATCACAGTATGTTTGTCACTTACTTTTGTCTCCTACTTGTAGCGTCATGTTTCGGTTAAAATGGATGTTGCTTCTCCAGCCACTGCTGGAGCCAAACGGAGAGAAAGGATCTGGAAATCACACATAAACACAAACTGAGTTTTTCTAGCTTAAATTTGCCCTCACACAAACAATATTAGTCTGTCTCTAAGTGTAGCCCTGTGATAGACTGGTGACCTGTCCAGGGTGGCCCCTGCCTTCACACTAAGTCAGCCTGGATAGACTCCAGCCCCCCCACGACCCTAGTGAGGATTAAGCGGTGTATAGATAATGCGTGGACAAACAATATTATCCCCGTTCCCTCACCGGTGGAGGTCTGTGTGAACTCCAGGGTGTGTTTCCTCTCCTGCAGCACCAGGCCCAGAGCCGCCTGGCAGATCGTTACCCCAGAAGGCGCTCTCGGAGCAGGAAAGAGGTCAGCGTAGTGCTGAGGAATGAAACTTGTCGTCACATTTCCAGCCTCAAACTCCGGGTGGCCAGAAAGACTCAGCAAAAAGTCTATGTTAGTGTTCAGTCCCACAATCTGAAGACAGAAGAGAGGATGTAAAGAAAGATAAAACACAGAATTACAGACATTTGCATTAATTGTTTTTTCCATAAAATTTACAAGAAATTGTAAAACATCATGAGAGCGTGCGTGTCTTACATTGTATTGTTGTAAGCAATAGCGCAGTTTCTTTAAGGCAGCTGATCGGTCTTCTCCCCACACCACGAGCTTGGCAATCATTGGGTCATAATGTGCCGACACCTCGTCTCCTGTAAACACACACACAATAAACCATGTCACATATGAAGCTCCCAGTGTTTTATATTCTATTAGTGGCTTTCTAATGAAGAGACAGTAGTGTGTGTGAGGAGGCACCCCTATCGCTCACTAGGATGAGCAGGGTCCGATGTATAAAAGCTATAGTCCCGGTGCAGCATCCTGGTGATTTGCTGCATGTCACCCCTTATCTCTGCTCCCCTCTTTCCTGTCTCACTCTTTGGCTGTCACTACCAATAAAGGAAATATCTGAAAAAAATTACGTTAAAAGAGAAAAATATATATATATCTGCAAATGAATGGAGCCCTGTGTGTATAATTATTTCTGTTGTTAATGTTCTGATTCCAACACAGATCTCTTTTCACTTGGTCATTTTACTTTACTTGCACTTTTTAGATACTTTCTTTTCATGTGTGAACAGTCACTACAGCTTTGTCAATACAAACAATGACAGGTTGCAAATGAGACACTAAGTCCTTTAAAACATTGAGTGTTGTTGCAAAAAGAATCGAAAATTGTCACTTGTCCACCTTCTCTGACTCCAGTCTCTATGCGTGTGTGCTGGTCTGGTGGAGGGGTGGATAGATGCAGCAGAGGTCCTGCCCCGGGGAGGAAGTCGTTGTTTGGGTCCTCAGCGTAGATACGAGCCTCAAAAGAGTGTCCACTTAAGATTATGTCATCCTGGAGGAGAGGCAGGCGCTCCCCTGCTGCCACCTGGAGGAGATTTTACAAGCACAACCACAAAATCTTTAAGTAAATCTAATTTGAATTTGAAAAAAACCTCCAAGTTCAAAACATGTCTTTGCACTGTCAGTTTCTCCTCCCTTTTTTACTTTTCCTCCCATCTCACCCTGAGCTGCCACTCCACCAGGTCGGTTCCAGTGATCATCTCAGAGACGGGATGTTCCACCTGCAGCCTGGTGTTCATCTCCATGAAGTAGAAGTTGTGCTGGGCGTCCATGATGAACTCCACCGTACCTGCACAGGAAAACAAACAATACAACATTACCTAACCCTGTGTGCTGTGTCTGACTCACTGGGGTAAGGTGAGTGAAGGGGAGTATTTGTGTGTCTCACCTGCCCCGACATAGTTCACGGCCTTAGCTGCTTTAACTGCTGCCTCTCCAAGTTTCCTCCGAACCTCAGGGCTTATATCAGGCTGAAAAAAATACGTGTGGTGATGAATGAAGAGTGTGAAACGAATCAATGGCTGCCAGAAATACGTTCAAGTGATCATAACCCTGATATCCAGTTTCACACTGAAGACCTATAAGCTTTCTATGTCAGTAACCTCAGATGGACTGAACTTGAAGACTATCTTATTTAAGACTAAACTCTGAATATTCTGTACATGTGTGGCCATAATCTGTCTCTATGTCGGCGATTATTTCTAAGTGATGTTAAAGTTGTTGTTTCACATGCATAAATGCATAGAACTCTTTAAAATTACACATGTGGATTCGGCACCTGTCTGACACTGCAAGTATTTAATAAACACACAAGAAAGACTTCTACAAACAGCTGGAAGCAAGCTAAACTTCAGCTCTTGCTTTTGTCAGAACCCAGATAACATTATTACTTGTGAGTCTCATTAATCGGATGTGTGCTGTCCTCTTCACAGTAAAGTCTCTGTTTGTAATAGATTTGTTTTTTCTTGGCTAAAAAAAAAAACTTTTGTTGTTGGGCCGATATTGGTGCTGAAATGTGGAGAAAAAAAATGCTTCACAAACTTTAAGAACATCACTTGTACATGCCTATCTCTGATTATCACGACTTGCAGTTCAGATTTGTGTTATGTTAAAAGTGATACGAATATCCTACAAGGTCCAACCGAGTCAGACTGTCATTGTAAAGTGAGGAAGGTGCTCATCCAGACATGAGCCGGCATGTTCTAATTCAATCACATTAACAGAAAGGAGTGTATGTCTGAAAGGGGCTTTAGATGCTGCAGCTTTCACCCACTCACCCCTGGTGCTTCCTCTATGATCTTCTGATGTCTCCTCTGGACGCTGCAGTCCCTCTCAAAAAGATAGACAGCGTTACCATGCATGTCCCCGAACACCTGAACCTCCACGTGTCTGAAAGAGACAGACAGAGAAATTTAGGGACATATTTACCTTTCAGTCATAAAAATACTGAAACAATGTGATGGTGGGACTGCCTGGTTAGCAGTGACTGTTACCGGGGGTCCTCCACAAACTTCTCAACCAGCATGACATCATCATTAAAGGATTTCCTGGCTTCTCGTCTCGCTGATTCTAACTGCTCCAAGAAGTCCGTGTCTGACCGTGCAATACGCATTCCCTAAAACACACCAAGTGTAATTTTAAGTTTGCATAAGACAGTTTGTTTAAGTTACTTAGACTTTTTCATTTCCTCTTACCTTTCCTCCTCCTCCACGGACCGCCTTGATCATCACAGGGTATCCAATGCGAGCCGCCTCTGCCTGCAGCCTATCATTTGATTGGTCCTCTCCATGGTAACCACCTATGATTGGCACACCGGCAGCTGACATGATGTGTTTGGATGTGCTGAAAAAGGACAAAAGAAAACAACAAAAGTTCTGCTAAAACACCTCAGCAGGGAAGTACAAAAAAATATTAAACACTTTATAATGAAATGCCAACTACAGACAACCAGTGAAAAATTATGAATATATAAGTGTGTGTCACCTCTTAATGCCCATGTCTCGGATGGCAGAGGAAGGAGGCCCAATGAAGATGATTCCCTCCTGTTTACAAGCCTCTGCAAACTCTGTGTTTTCTGACAGAAACCCATAGCCTGGATGAACCGCCTGCACATAGAGCACAAACAAAATCTCAGCAAACAATAGGTGGAATTAAAAATAAATAAATAAAACAACTCCTTGGGCAAAATGTTTAAGATTAATCTTAAGACCAAGATTAATATTAAGATTAGATAAAATAACTAAGGAGATCTGACATTTAGTTGTTTTTTTGTTTTAAAAAAAATTGTTTTGCAGAATTACTCACATGTGATCCAGACTTCTTGGCCACCTCCAAAACTTTCTCCATAGAGAGGTAACTCTGCTGGGAGGCTGCAGGGCCGATGTGGTACGATTCATCTGCCTACAAAAAACAAACAAATCAAAGACAGAGAAAACAACAGATTAGCAACATATGACACTGTATTCATTTAAGCAGCTGTGGGTGATGTACACAGATCTGTACAGTACAGGGACAAACATTATATAGGAAATAAGGATCTAATGTCTCACCATAGCTACATGCATGGAGTGTCTGTCTGCATCGCTGTACACCGCTACAGAGCGCACACCCATCTTCTTGGCTGTACGCATCACACGGCATGCAATCTCTCCACGATTGGCGATCAGCACCTTTTCTATTCTTCCAACCCCTGAAAAAGGACGCATAAAGCTTTGAAGGGCATAAAATGATCAGCAGCTGCACTTGTTCAACAACCACAGCACAGACATGGTTTGATATATGCCTGTTAATATTTCATATTTAGAGAAGTGAAACAATCAAATAGATGAAAAGTGCTACATTTTTCTTAATCACATATTAATTTCAGGTATTAATCAAAAATATTCTAAACAGTCTCTGCTTCTCAAATATGTGTGTCCTTTCTCTGTCATGGAATGTCATCCGGGGGGACAAGCAAACAGTTGTGTCCTTCGGCTTTTCAGAATTTTTCTGTTGACAGTTTTTTTGATGATGAAACTCATAGGGTCTTCACCTTACCGTGTGAAGTGCTATGAGATGACATATGTTGTAAATTGGTGCTATATAAATAAAATAACATTGAACTGAATTGAAAAAAACAAGTTAGCTGCAGCACTAAATATTTACTTTGTCACATTAACATATTGTTTTATGTATGGCTGACTTGAGAGAGGAGAGGGAACATTTACAGTATCAATCCCCAACAGCATGATAATTCAGCTCAACAGTTCCTTACAGTAAAGACGGGTGACAAATGAAAGAAAAGACAACATAAAGTGCCTTAATAAAGTGTTGGGCCACCTCTTGCAACCAGAACAACTTCAATTCCCCTTTTCATTGATTCTCAAAAACTCTGGAACTCTATTGGATAGACAAACACAAAGGTTCAAAAAGATATTCCTGTTCTGCAGCACCATCAGAGTGCCGTCTAACACACCAGCCCAATGTGTAATAAAGTCGTTAAAATGGGTTGAGAGCTGGCAAATGTGAAGGCCATAGCATGAAATTCTGTACAACATGTCTTTTCAGCTTAAAATCACAATCTACACATGTGCAAGAGTCACATGACAGGAAGTGTGATGTAAGGCAAAATAACTACTTTTTTGTGCTACTTGATATAAAAGGAAAACTCTTCATTTATGACAACTTATCTACAAAAGGAGTCTGTCTAAAAATAAACTCAAATTCAAGCTTTTATACTGTATTTACAAGACAGGGAGTTTGTAGATGTGCATGCTGCACATGTGCACAATGAGATGAACAGAGAAACACTTGTTGGTAAAAAAAGAAATGCGGGGACACGGAGATATTTGAACAACAGAGAGGACTGTGTTGACCAGAAACAGGTACTATGTTGGTAGTGTCTTGCAATTGTTGCCACTACACAAAGCAACACAACTAATTTGTTTGACCATTTAAATCAGCAACACAAAGCAACCACAAACAGAAGTAGTCACATCACTTCATTTAAATTTCTGTGATTTTTCAAGTCACAAAGTCACAAAAGTGAGCATGTCTCTAGACCTAAACCCTATTGAGGATCTGTGGGGCATCCTCAAATGGAAGGTGAAGGAGCACAAGGTCTCTAACATCCACCAGCTTTGTGTTGTCGTCATGGAGGAGTGGAAAAGGATTCCAGTGGCAACCTGTGAAGCTCTGGTGAACTCCATGCCCACAAGGCTTAAGGCGGAAAATAATGGTGGCCACACAAAATATTGACAATTTGGGCCAAATTTGGACTTTTCACTAAGGAGTGTACTCACTTTCATTGCCAGCAGTTTAGACATTAATGGCTGTGTATTGAGTTATTTTGAGGGGACAGTAAATGTACACTGTTATACAAGCTGTTCACTGACTACTTTACATCATAGCAAAGTGTCATTTCTTCTGTGTTGTCTCATCAAAAGATATTATATTTGCAGAAATGTGACATACTGTATATATTGCAGAAAACAAAGTATCGAAATGTCAGTTGTCCCCCAATATCATGCAGCCCGAAATTATTTAATTTTCATCAAAGAGTTCAGTGAAACCTTGTGTGTGGATTGGGGTATTATAATCACAACAGAAATGTGTCGTCACAGGATAAAGACGATCACTCAGAATAACACTGTATGTATTTGTAGTGACTGTTCCCTCTGCCTCCCAAAGCATAACAGAGACACTGGATCAGGGGTGGGCAATCCTGGTCCTCGAGGGCCACGATCCTGCATGTTTTAGATTTTTCCCCTCTTCCAACACACCTGATTCAAACGATCAGCTCATCATCAAGCTCTGCAGAAGCCTGATAACGATCCTGATCATTTGAATCATGTGTGTTGGAAGAGAGAAACATCTAAAACATGCAGGATTGTGGCCCTCGAGGACCAGGATTGCCCACCCCCTGCACTGGATCCTCTCAGTGTAGGGGTCAGGGGGTTCATCTTGGTTATGATGACTCACTCACCTCCTGAAACGAGCCTCACGCCTCTTTTGGTCCATGACAGTTTTCTGAGGAGGAAACACCTTCAGTTATTCCCATTCACATTTCAACAAGAGTGTAAAAGGTTAAGCAGATTCTAAAAAATCTCTCCAGCATGTAGCAGTAAGGCTAAATTACAATAACTTGCCAACCCTAAATAACACGGGGATGACTTTGACACTACTTAGAGGCTGGTAGCAGAAGTAAACACACAACAGTGTGCATGGTAAAGCAGCAATATTAGCCTCGCTAGCTGTCAGTCTGCTACCTTTATTTAACCTTGCTCAGTTTTTATCTTATCTTTTAGCTCGCTGAATGAAAAATGTTTTGACAGCGTCTTGATGCTGGGAGAGAAAGAGACGGCCCTTCAAGCGAGTCAGAAATCATGACCACTAGCAGATAATTTACAGTATTAGCTGAACAAGTCACAGCAGTTCATCGTCAGAGATAAGAGTGTCAGCTAACGTTAGAAATGAGCTAGCTAAATATCGAAGCAGTGGGAGAGGTCGTAAAAAAAAGAGAGCATGTTTTATGACAACATCATAACAGGCGTTTATTGCTTTAATGTACTCACTGTGTAAATATCCTCAGACCCTGCAGAGTTGGGAAACTTAGGATAACTGCAGCCATAGTTACCTGCCGCTCAGGCTAGCTGTGCTAGCTGGCTACCTGGCTAAATGACCAGCTGAGGAAAAAGCGAAGCCGTAATTTATACACAGCTCATATACAGTTTGGCCCTTTTTTTTACGACTGCAATACACTGAACTTGGACCAAAAAGCGCTTGTAGGAAACTAAATATTACACTTGCGCCGAAAAACACTGCCAAAGTCTATTGTTTTTCTTTATTTTTCTTTATGACCTTTCCAAGGACTCGTAGAGTAGCCAGCCAATGAGAAGGAGGGAAATGGAGGAGGGGAGGAAGCTGCAGTCACCAGACATGACCAGCAGAGGGCAGCGTTGTCTGACAAACAGCAGGTGAACGACTGTTGAGGAAAAATCACAGAAACAAGACCTTTGATCTTATTTTATCAAAAATGACAGTGATTTGTAAAATAATATAGCAATTCTGAAAAACAAATTGAAGTTGAAGCACATGCATTAAGCAATTATATTTATTATTTTCATTCATTACATTTTTATTTAAAAATGGAACACACTGAGGCACAGAGGCCTTATTTATTTACATTGTCGCCCATCAAGACAATAAAATATGTAGGTATACAAATAAGAAACTTGCATAGCAATAAAAACAAAGATATTAAATGGCAAACTTAGTAAAATAGTGAAAACATTATTTCGAGAATTTTACATTTAAAAACAAATGAATCAGCCAAAACAAGAACAAGATGAAATTAGAAACCTGAATTGCCCTGAGGATAAAAACGAGTCAGCCTTGATTGTTCTGCAGGTCATTGCACACTGAAGTTGCACAGTAGGCAAAACCTTCAAAACCCAGTAAAAGCAGCACCTGCAGCGTAATCCTGTCACTTGAGCATGTCGCAGCTGATGCACGTGTGTCTGAAATGTCACCACATTCCAACAAACATAGAAAAGCATATAGACAACAGTTACATTTTTGCTGGAGAAACACAATTTCTAATATTTAGTTTGAGTATTTATTTTGCTGTTGTTACTATTATTGTCAATAATATTGTTAGTATTAGTTAGTTCCGCTCTATTGTTTGCTAGTGGTGGGATAAAGTAACCAATCGCCATGACTGTCTGTAATTAAGATCAAAACTGAACCAAACTTGAAGCATCTTTGTGCTTGAATTGTTGAATATGCAGCAAATTAAGATATTATAACAAACAACAGTGAATTCAAATGATCACTGACACACTGATGATCAAATATTCTTACTATATTTAATAATAAATTGTTGAAAGAGTAATCAAACAAATCCATTAAACGAAAGGTTTTATCTTTATACTTTGAATATAAGACATTAGACTTCCATTTGTTATAATTGTTGGAAAAATTCAAAGTCAGTTACAGGTCAAGGACGCAAGAAGTGATACATGTGTGTCAGTGAAATATTACTTTACTGGGAGTAAATGTCATTCCAGTTTGACGGTGAGCTCAGATTCTGTCATATCCAGGTCTGCGGCGGTCTTTGATGAACTGGAAGGTCAGAAGAGCGATCACAACTAAACCCACCGCTACAGCTCCCAAGATGATGGGAATGGCTCTCTTGTTAAAGTCGGCCCAACACTCCATCTCTGCAACATAAGACAGGACAGGAACAAAGGTTCAGGTCTTGATTACATTTACAGATGAAGACAAGCTTGTTGGAAGAATTTTCAGTTTTTATGTTAATGTAAACTTTAGAATGAGTTGCACTCACAGAGTAGGATCACTGCTTTTATTGTTGTGCACAGTATTAATAAAGCTTTAGTTTCAGGAAACGTGCTGTTCTGCAAAGTATCACTGACAGTTTATCACAGTGTCTGGCCCAGTTGTCAAAGAGAAATAAAGTCTATAATAACTGACAGAAAATGTGGTTTTAGGTTAATGCTGCTTTTGGCAACTTTGATTTCAGCCTCCCTGAAGTGTGTTGAAGCCAAACGGAAGACAAGATTTAGATTTTAAAACACTTCCAACTAAAATTTCCTCTCGATTCAATATCACTGATATCATGAACTCTGACTACTGATTTCAGACAAACACCAAAGTTGGCAGTTTACTAGGAACAGTAGTGGGAGGCTATTCTGTTCTTAACTACAGCTTGTATTATTTTTAGATCACCTTTAAAAGATTCCAATGTTTAGTACTTTTTTTCAATAATTGTGGATGATAATTTTAACAAATGTTTGTATCTGTTTATTTGTCAAGTTTTCTATCATTTTTTTAAGTGGCAGATATCACATATAATGTGACACAAGTCACATGATGAGTTTATTCTGCTTAATGAACTGTAAATGCAGCACCTGTTTCCATCACACTGTACAGCCTGATGAAGACTCTCTGAGGTAAAATGTGTCGGTAGATTCATTAGTGATGATAAGATATTAATGTATTTACTCAAAGATTTTTCTTTTTTATAATCAGTGTGCTTTGGATGTTTTTAGGACTGTCAAACAATACAAAAGACTTCAGTTAAACAGAAACGAGACAGTCATGATTGTTTCATCTCTCTTTGACCAAATGGCCTTTTTCTTGAGGAGCGCCTGATTTCCTATTGTCTCATTTGTCTCTTTTTTATACTAGCAGCATGCTTTATCCAGTGCGACAACCCAAATGATCTGTTCAGTTACTTGGTCCGTAGTCTCTGTTGGGAACGCTGAAGGCCTGCATCTGCAGAGGAACCAGCCTGATCTTCAGTTCGGACGACATCAAAAGCAGCTTCCCAGATTTACACTTGAAGCTTTGACTGTTAGCTGCTGTGAACAGCTTCTTATGAGTGATCACACCTGAGTAAGTCTTATCTGTTGGGAAGAGGATGGAAGATAGGAGCAGTTACATTCTCAGTGTTAACAAGATATTTTTCTCAAATCAGAAACACTAACTCCTGAACATGTTATCTGCCTTCTCTGGGTGTCTGTCGGTTCTTACTTGCACATCCTTGGCAGACGGGCTGAGGAGACACGTGAGCGGTCACATTGGTGACGTAGATAAAGTTGTTTTCCTGGGAACAAATACAGAAAAAAATGGAGCAGAGTAAGAAACAAACACATTATATCATCTATTGTGAACATTTTGATTAAAATGTGAACCCTGGAATTCCAAAAACAATCATATTCTGATGACATAAGAATGCAATTACTATAGACACCGACACTGTATGTCAGAGACTGTTTGGTTTCTATATAGAGCAAAATAAATTGTCAGTTTTCATCTTGATATTGCAATATTTTCTATCATCTGATGACCAAAAAAAAAAAGCAACAATGTTTTTCTATATTTGTGTTTAAAGCTGTTTCTATTAGCAGACAGCCTGTTCTTAAAACATATTGGTTCTTAAGAAGGTTCTCTGGTTCTTCAAAGCACTGTCACCAATGACAGAAGCTCTCTATTTAGGAGATGGTTCTTCACATACTTTATGTGGTTCTTTGAAAACCAAGTCTTTCATTTTTCTTGGAATTATTTGCTTTTGCAGCAGGTAATAGCACACAATTAGAGCTGCAGCTAACAATTATTTCCATCATCACTTAATCTGCAGATAATTTTCTCAATTAATCAATTAATCAGTTGGTCCACCAAACACCAGCAAACAGTGAGAAATGTTAATCATCATCTTGTACTACATTGACCAGTCTGACCAACAACCCTGAAATAATAAATGTGTTCTACTGGAAAATTCTCACATTTCACTTTTTTGCATAAAAAATACTAAAGCTATCATCAAGTCCTATTTTAAAAATAGAACCAGGGGGGTCCACAAAGAACTACCTTAAAAACTTACTCTGGAGCACCATTCATGGTTTATAGAGGGAATATTTTTTTAAAGGCTGTTTGAGGCATCTTTAACGTTTCTTTATAGAACTGTTTGAAGAAATGCTTGTTTTCCTCTGTGGTGTCACTGTGACATTACTTACAGTTAATACTTGATATTTTTCTGACTGCGTTTCTGTTATTTTTAACTTTTTAACTGTAAGGAGGATGGACCCCTGCTCTTCGCAGTGTCAACAGGAATCAGTCCCAGCTCCCCATGATGAAGCATGTATAGCTCAATGATGCATGTAATTGTGCCCTATGCTGTCTTTGCACACAGACAATTTGTGTTTTTCTCCTTTGCTATAATACAAATGCTTGGATTATCTTTATATTTTAGTCTTACAGGGATACATAAGGTGTTGAATGTCTGGGCAAGAGGCAGATTATACCACAGACAGATCGTCAGTCTCTTGCGTGTCTAACATGAGATAGGCCTGAATGTGGTTAAACTGTGGGGGAAACCAGAACCTTCGCAAAAGAAACCCACACAGACCCAGAGAGAACATTCAAACCTGAAACAGAAATGAATGTATGTGGTTGATGTGTTATACCTTTCTGAAGGTGAACTGCAGACTGGCAGCTTGGTTTGGCAGCGTGAGAGACAGAACAGCAGTTTCTTTGTCACAGTTACCACCGGTCTTAACACTGGAGGGATCCAGGTTGAAATACCAGGTTTTCTGAGTGAACATAACAAAGATTTATTAAGTTCCTTTAAATAATTGTCCACCCTCACTTTCTTCTTTGACTTGAGCACAACCAAATGCTTTATTCTGTGTTAGATCAAGAGCCTGACTCATTAAATCAACTAAAGCTGACGGTGGTTGTACATTTATACAGTGAGACTACGTTGTGATGGACTTTATGCAAAAAGTGCAGAAATACCAGAAAATTACACTCATGCACTCTGAGCTAAACACGCAGGATCCCTATTCACAAATGATCAACACTGACAGATGCACACATATGGGGCGCTGAGCCAGCCTCTGACCTTCTTCTCGGTGACAATGTACTCTGCTCCCATGGTGGCTCTGATGCAGGGTTTCCCAACACGGTCATTCAGCAAGTAGGTTCCTGCACACAAAACAAACATACATCCGTCAAATGGCAAATATAATGTGAGTTTTGCTTCAAGGGCGCAATATATTATGTAACTTCCAAATGCTTTATTTGGTCTCTTTCATTCTTAATCAACTGTCATCAGCTACACTTGAGTTAAAGTCTTCAAATGAAAAGGATACTCATTGATTTAAAGCTTTACAATAAATAAAGCAATGTAACTGTTGTTTAACTGAATCTCCATGAAATATATCTTGCCTGATGTCGTGGTGATGTTGGTTTATTGTGTGATCTTTTTTCAGCAAGGAAGATAAGATATGTAATCATCAAATACTTAAAAAAAAATATAGGACTTTGTATCCGTCTGCACAGGTATCATGACACCTTAAACTGTGTATCTTTCTTTTCAGATGGAGGCTGAGACATTTATTACTGATCAAAGTCAAGCTTTATAAGAAAATTCATAGACAACCATTGTACTATGTTATTGTCTTGAGTACAGCTTTCATTAATGAGCACTGATGTATGCATGACCAATAAACTGTTCAGCTATCTTTTATACATTCATATAACGTGACAATAAAATAATAAAGTCCCTCCTATCTTTAATGGCAGAATGCAGTTCAGGTTTATGTAATGCTTGTAAAATTGTGCCCTTTTACCACAACGATGCTAATAAATGGGTTCTAAATTTCATGAAATGCTAAAAAGTTCAATTTGCATCTCAGCCATTATGCAGATTGATTTCAAATCTCACAGCACTCACACACTCACAGCGCCAACCATCTTTATAAAGTCAGACAAAAGTAATCAGCATGACCTCTGACAGCAATCACTTTCCTTTTTCTTTTGTGTTGAATAAGCTCTTTAACTACGTCTTCCTTACATTCCACCACTACCTGTTTCATTGTTTGAGTATTCCTTGTGCAGCAGAAGGCCTACAGAAACAGGTAGTTTCATTGATATATTTGTAACTTGGGTGCTGTGTTGGTGTACCTGTGGATGGAGGGGCCTCAGAGGGCTGCAGGACCGGTCGGGAGATCTGAGCCTCAGAGGGCAGCTCAGAGTCAGAAGAAGGCTGGGAGGAGCTGCCATGTCTCTGGAGGTGGACTCCTGGTAGAGGACCAAGTCTGTCAGTCTAAATGTCTGTTATTTTACTCGTTTTTTCTCTTAGATAAAACGACAGTATATAAAAATGAATACATCATTACTACTAGCAATCCTAGTAGCTCATACTCTGACACTAGAGTAAGCTTGCACTGTATTTATTCATAAAGTAGATTTGTTGAGAAAACTGCAGCTTGTTTTATAGCACAAAACCAGAAATATCCCTACAATGTGATCAGATTATCAAGTTATGGTCCTGGAGAAAGTTTGTCTTGGTGTCTGTCAGTGACTACATCACAGTTTGATTAAACACAAGCTTAGTCAGAAATATTCCCCATTAGGGCACAGTACAGAGTGCAGGACTTTGACTCAGAGCCCTGATAAAAGTCAGGGTCACAAAATGAGGAAGACAAGCCTGATATTAATTTTCAACTTAGTATTGCAAATTCCTAACTAGTCCAGAGAATCTGGGCCCCAGTGGTGGAAAGTTACCAAGTACATTTACCCAAGCATTGTCCTGAAATAAAGTTTTGAGGTACTTGAGTATTTCCAGTATAAGCTGCTTTATCCTTCCATTCTAATACATTTCAGAGGTTAGCATTGTACTTTCTACTCCACTACATTTATCTGGCAGCTTTGGTTACTTTTAAGATGACGATTTTACACAATGAGTAATATAAAATGCTTTTAAAAACAAATGAAACCACTGATTTCCAGCCTTTTTGGCTTCTTACAAAAAGCAGCGTGTAATCAGGATCACATTTCAGAAGAAGTCCTCCTGAATTTCTCATGTGATTTAATTTTAGTAAACGTTTAAACAGTCCAGTATGTCACCAAAGACGGACTGGCTAATCACCAAGATTAGAGAAAAATTGAATCGTACTGAATTGAATTAAAACCGGATTTGTTTATCAGAACTTTTTTTTCATTTTTCCTCCCCCATTAAACATGTGATGATTTATCTGTTGTTCCTCGAAGCAAAACTCGACATAAAGCAGTTACAACAGCTGCAACAGTGACATGCTGCTGACACACTGATGCTTCACTGTTAATAATCTAATGAAGTATATGAATGTATCAGTCAGAGGGATCAAACCAGGACTTTCACTTACATACGTTTCCTAGTAAGAAGGATTTTTAATGCAGGTCTGTTAGTTGTGATGGAGTTTTTTGTATCGCTGTATTGGTACTTTTACCCAAGCAAAGAATCTGAACATATCTTTCACCACCGCCCTGACTGTGGCCACAGGGTAGCTGGAACTTTGCTAATCCAGCCAAAGCTTGGAAGGACACATATTGCAAAAACTGAAGCCAATTGAGAAACAACATCTAATATTTTTGGTCTAAAGTCACGACTGAAAACGTCCCTTTAGGAAACATAGTTGTAGAGTAAAAACAAGGCTGTCTAGACCACGGTCAACAGTTCTTAATAGCAATTTAACCTAAAAGTACAACTTGAAGAACACAGTTGTTGCAAAACGTGTGTTTTATTGACTGTTCCTCTCTATAGCGTATTCATTTTCGGAGAATATGACTCAGCCGATTTAGTGGTAATCATACCGTGTGTTTGCTTCACAACGGAGTGAGAAAAAAAGACAAATGTGTGACCACAAAAGACCACTAAACCAACGATCACTGTGTGGGAGAGGAAACAGAACAGTCTCATATGTGGTGTTTATAATAGCAGAACAGTTACAGCAATTATGACACTTATAAGGAAATATTTATCTTTAAAGAGAAGTTAAAACAGCATTATGAATATTGAACTGATGCTGCAGGGCAACATGTAAGTAAAGTGTTTTTTTTAGCAGCTCAAAGTGAAAAATTGCTCTAAAGGCTGCATTCTCTGCAGTCTGTTAACAATACTGTTAAAAGGTGTTTCTGTAAAAAGTCTCCCCTAAATATGGTTAATGCTGTTTTAACTACGGACAAAAGACCAAAAAAAAAAACCTGTACAGCCAGTTCAGAGTCACTTATCTGATGAGGGTAAAATGAAATTTGAATATTATCAAACTCACCTGGACTAAAAGCAGCCAGAAAGAAAAGAGACCATCCACTGATGTGACTTTTCAGCGTCATAGTTATAAAACTATGGAGCACAACAACGCTACTGAGTGCAGAACGAGAGCAGCAGCTATGGTTTAAATGTGAAACACCTCAACACTTAAATGAGGCGTGCAGAGGAAGTGAACTGTCACAGGAGGCAGAGCAGCACTGACACCTCTGAGGGGAAAAAAGTCAGTTTGACAGAGAAGCTGTGGCGGTTCTCAGCCGCAGCATCACAGACAACGCTGCAGCTATGCGCTCAGTGAAAATGTGTCACAACAGTAAAAATGATTCCAGTTTAAATGCACTACTTTACATTAAAAGTACGATGAAGGCAAATAATTCGCATCATGAATGCTGCATCTGCACCGTTATGTCCATTATGTTAAATGCTATTAAAGGGTTTCCGATACAGTGACCAGATACACAAAACACCAGACAAAAAAATAAATACATTTAAAAATTAGTAAATAAAATGTATATGAAAAACTTTGTAGCATCCAATAGTGTGACAATTTACTGAAAATGTAATAATGCCTGAATGTGTAGGAAAAGTTTGCACTTAATTTGATTGAAGACACAATAATTAAATGCAATAATTTCATAATTTGACCAATAATGTATTAAAAGCTCCTGACAGAGAGGTCTTGTAACACCTTTCAGTTGACTGATTAGTGACCGAGCCATTATCCAAAATGAAACAAAGATCATCCATGAACACATCATGAAGATGCTCCTCAGGATAACCTGCTCAGAGACGGCCTCAGGCAGCAGAAGACAGAAGGTGGTGATGAGGAAGAGGAAATACCATGGAAGATCAAACCCCTCTATGGGATGTATCAGCTGTAGATAGAGGAGGTGGCTGACATCAAGAAATCCAACTAATGTTTAGAAAAGGCCGGTCCAGAGGCTCTGATCACTGCAGCAGCAGAACAGGCCCTGAGCACCAGATCCTTAGATGCACGTTTCTACTACAGCAGACTGGACCCAGGGCTGGTAACAAGACTTTTGAAAGATATTGCAGTTTAATTTTTAAACTTGTTGTAGTATTGTTGTGTTGGGATGGAGAGAGAAATTACACAAACAGACATGTAAAAGCCCAGACAAATAAGACAAATCTACCTTTACTGGAAAGCAGTGAGAATGTATGTTTTGTTATTGTGATCAAACAGATCAACTCCTCTGACTTGTGAAATGAATGAAATGAAATGAAATGAAATGAAAAATACTTTATTTATCCCAGAAGGGAAATTCAATCTTGTAAAAGCTCACTTTTTTTCTTTTTTTTCTTATTCTTTTTTTTCTTTTTTAAAATTTTTTTTCTTTTTTTTTTCTTTTTTTTATTTTGTATTTTTAATTTCATTTTTAATTTTTTTTTATTTTTTAAAAAATCAATATAACATATATTCTATACAATGATTTATATGCTGCAAGTGTTTTATAGTAGTGACTCAGAACTTGTTAACTGAGACAACGTCACACACTGTATTTCTAATGCTGTCATTTTCATGAATTTTCATAAATATTAACATACATTAAAAGATTGATCCAATTTTTATGTCTGTGCCATGATTAGCTTAGCTTAGCATAGCATTAAAACTGGAAAGAAGGAGAAAAATCTACCCTATAATCCTTTACTCCAGTGTAACTTTTATACATTTCAACAGGTTGTACACATCAGATACAGAGATAATTAATAACCTGTGTTACGTAGATTATGGTACAGGACAGCTGCTTTCCCTTTTGTATGCATGCTTAGCTAAGCTACTGAACTGCTGGCTGCAGCTACAGTAAAAGGAATTGCACTAATTTTAATTTTCCATAATTCCACTCATCTCAAGCTTTTGCTTCAACAAAATGTGTTTTACTTGTTTCACTTGAAGATATCTTCAAGTCCCGATGACTTCAAATGAATCAATAATCTAAAAGAAAAAAGATCAGAGGAAGATGTGTTTCTGCTGTTAATCATCTTGTGACCCTAAATAATTCACATGTGGGCCTCTGTGGGTTTGGACATGTCGCTGTAGCTCATATGCAACCACAAGAGGGCAGAATTAGGCTTTGATCAAATCCTCCGTTTACTTTTGCATGAATGGAGTGGAACAGAGGGTAAGAGTACAAACCAGCCAGGAAACATTAAAAAAAAAAGATGTTGCCATCTGTGGACAGACCAGTTGATCTCAGTGTTTCCCTGCAATTACACACAAACGCCATGTCAGAATGTTACATTTATACGAGTGTAAATTCTGAGCACATTTCACCTTGTTTCACAGACGAGCAGTGAGGAAATCACAGTGGTTTGGGCTAAAGGTCGACGGGGACAAAGTACCAGTTAAAACACACACAAAAAAAAAAACACTGACCGCGCACAACGTGACCCCTAAACATGTTCAGAGGGGATGTTTCTGCTGCCATAATCAGCGCAAATCAACTCTGCTTCATGACGTTCAATGTGTGATTATGTGTGGGTGTGTGTCAGTGTCACAGTCTCTGAGCATGATGAGGGAAGTTAGTCCAACTCCTTACAGGCTCTGTTTCTCCCTCAGATACTGACTGTTGTATTGACTCGACAGGTAGGAGGGCAAACAACAGAGCAAACATTTACTCTCCTTTTACCGACTGAGTGTTGTGAGCATTAACGTGTGTGTGTGTGTGTGTGTGTGTGTGTGTGTGTGTGTCCTTTGCGACCTCCTGTCCTCAGTGTGCGTGTCTATCTATGTGTCATCATAGTTCTCAGGATTCCCACCTACAGTTTCAGGAGAACTTCACTCGGTCGTCCATCCCTGTGTGAAGAAGAGTCGAGTTCTTCCTCCTCGAGTCCAGCAGGATCGACAGCAGGCCTCCACGTTCAGAAAACTGTGAGCAGCAATCCAGAAAACTTTATTTTAGTGAATGTGTTTGGAAAGCCTGAAAATGTTTTCATTTTATCAGCCACAAATCTGAGATTGATCCAGCAAACGCTGGCAATGCTGGGAGGTCATCTGGACATGAAATGCTCCTAGGTTCCTGTGAGTGTTCATCAGATGCTGTGATTTTTTTTTCCCCCTTTCTTTGCCTTGTAGCAGAACAGAGCCGAAAGTTCATCAGGATCAGACAATGAGGATTGGAGTGGGGCTGTGTGTGCTGGGCCTGCTGTGCCTCCACAGCTCAGTCTTTGGGCAGGTAAGGAGAACGTATCAGAAACCAGAACGTGTCTGGGATTAAAACAAAGATGACACAGTGAGAGGAGCTATGTGGCTGCTAAGTTGTTACAGCAGTAAACGAAGAAGTATTCATTATTCAGTCACGACCTTGCACTCAAAAACTTTACCTAAATCCTAAAGTATCAGCTAAAAATATTCAAAATGAAAGTCCTAACTATGCAAAATGTCAGAGTATAATGTTCTCTGGGTAGGCAAAGGACATGTGCTGCTCGCTATTCAAGTTTCTGGCTGATTTTCTGGCTGAAGTTTCTGAATATTGTCCAGCCACCACATTAGAGGAGCTCTGTGCTGCAAAAACTGTGGAAACACTCATCTGAGTCACATTCAGTTATTATCATGGGTTTAGAGCAGAGAGTGCTGCTTTTGACTTCCACATCTTAGTTTATAAAGTTTGCTGGGGCTGCAGGAAGCCTGAAAGGAATACATGCAGACATAAAATGGGATAAATGAGCTTAAATAGACTCCTAATATTGTTTATTTACATGCATACATACAACCAGTCAAACACAGAACAGTAAGCAGCACCTAAGCAAGTTTCTAATATCTTAAAATTAGTAAAAAAAATACTTGAGTAAACTTGTCATTTGATCACCAAAGTGATCATCTGACCAGCAGTAGCTTTGGATTGTCACGTACCGCTTTGAATCTCAACTGAAACGGACTTTGACCTGTTTACAAGACCCTTTTGTTTAATTCCAAAACTGTTATGTCGTGGGTCCCTTTGAAATGAGCCATTTCAACTCTCTTTCACTTAAGTGCAATTGGCAATACCACAATTCTTTATACAAACCAAGGGTTTAAGCATAGAGGAAAGTGAATGCAGTGCGGCACCTGTAGAGGCAAATCTGTCCTCCGTGATATCGAGCTGATTGCTTGACAAGTCCTGCATGCAAAGTCATAGTTAGTTAGAAAAAGAAGATGATTATTGTCAGTAAAAATGAACTTAAAGTTTCAAAAGTTAAAAAACCAATGCAGAAAACTTGTCCTTTAAAAGTGATGGTATTCTATATCAAATATTACAGCATTTAACGTGTAGTCATCCATCAACAGGTGATGTCAAGTTTAACTGCTTCATTGACTTCAGTGCAGGTTATCTATAACAAAGCATCATAACATTCAATCTGTAGATAAACTTGTGTTGTGAAATGTGGCACAAGTATAAATTGGAAGAAAAAAAAGCTAAATAATAAAGAAGAGTGTGAAGCATGCTTAAGCTTGGCATTTGATTGAAAGTCCTTAGACATATGTTTGGCGATTCCCTGAAGGATGCTTATTGAAAAAGCCCTGTATAGATAAAAATGTCAATATGTCATCCCAAAAAAGCTTCAAGGAGTTCTGACAGTTCTATCTTCCTGTCCAGGATGTGGACGTCCAGCCGGGTGTCCTGATCTTCTGTGATGACCCAAGTGTGGAAATGGCCATCAACAGCGCCGTGTCCAAGTTCAATGAACAGCTAAACAGCGGACACAAGCTGGCCGTCTATCAGATACTGTCAGCCAGCAAGGTACGGTGACGGCAAAACTGTCATTCTCCACACTCACCTGACCTGCTCTAACTCAAAGAGAAAAAAAAACAAGAGATTGGTATTTAATTTCACGCTGCTTCCCTCAACATTTAACATATATTTTATATGTGAGCTTATACAGTGACTGCACAGGTGTAGCTGGTTTAACTACTCCACATACAGCTGTTGTCAAACCTGTGAAAATGGGGAAATACAGTTCACATTAATACAGTACATGCTGAAACTGACTGCAGTGTGTGAGGAAGTTCATCAGTGCTGTCCTGAATATGGCTCCCCTCTGTCACTAGAGGTTTGAACAGTCACCACAAATCCTGCAAAAATCTAATTTTGATGTATTTTCTTCATTCCTGACTGACTCTTGAAACAATACAATTAGATTTTATGAGCTTCTTCAGTGTCCTGGCATTAGCAGCCACTTGTCAGATGAATGTTAGTGTGGAAATTTTGTGCATAAACAACTGAAACATAGAAAATATCATTTTGCACAAAATCTATAATATGTACCAGTGCTTTACTACAGCCATGTTAAATTAAAAACCATATCCTGTCCAAGGTGTGTTAAAAATTAGGATGTGAATTACTGAAATGGCTGTTGCTCCTTAAAGGTCTTCTTTATATTTCTGTGCTGCAAATTGACAAAACAAGAGAAACCAAAGTTTTGAAATGATCACCAAGCAATTCTAGGAAAACATTCTGTGACCCTTTGGCCTCTGGTTCACAGCGATCGTGTGTGTGTGTGTGTGTGTGTGTGTGTTTGTGTGTCTCCAGTCAGAGAACGGCTCCGACTCGGTGTATTCACTGCAGTTCACCAGCAGGAGGAGCAACTGCGCAGCGGGAAGTAGCAAACCCTGGACAGAATGTGACTATTTGCCATCTGGACGCAAGGTAACAACAATGAAATTAAAAGAATACACTCTATCTTAAACACACGAGTACACATAAAACTGCTGCACTTTTGAAACATCATCTGTCCTGATGTCCCTCCAGGAGCCGATTTCATGCAACGCCACAGTCTACATAACGGAGATGGACGCTGACACCACACAGGTGGACTGTCTGGTTGGTGAGTGAACGAATGAACCTGATGATCTCATTAGAAGTTGAAGGGATGAATGAAGAATCAGATTATAGTTTTTAGCACTTAATTACACAAGCACACGCAGAAGATCACGCAATATTTTTGCAGAGATATCGAAACTGATCTACTTTGTTACTGTGTTTTAAAATCTTCTCATCTTGGGACTTCATTCAGGATATTACCTGCAAAACCAGTGGCTTATTTATACCTATTACTTCACTTGTCATGTTGGAAATTGGCCCATAAAGACTCATTCCATATAATGAACTGACATCAGCACTGAAACCAATCATTTCAACAGTTCCTCCAAACACTGTTTAATCACATATGGAGTGTTTTCTTATGGCAGGACTCCCTTGTGGCGTACCATCAGACAAGAGTCTGTTTTTCATTAAGAAAACAGTGAGTCAGTCAGGAAAATGTGCACTGGTGGGTGCAGGGAAAACAAAATGGGGTTGATTGTGTAATATATCAACACTGTCTGCAAATAAGAAAAGCACAATGTTAACTTATCACGCCGTGAAAGGCAGAGGCACGGTGTAGACTTTAATCTATTTGTCTAATCAGACCAACGTAGGCGGACAGTAAACAGATTTTTATGTTTCTCTATCCTGCTTCCAAAATGTTTTGCAACTTAAAGGCTCAGCTTGGAAAACTTCTTTGTATATTTAAGGAGACATGATGCTTTTGGTTATTTGCTATCAAATATATTATGTTACAATGCCAGATGATCATATTAAACATGGCCATAGTTTCAAATAATGAGGTAAATGTATGTAAAAGTGATCAAAAGCTCAAATTTCTTATTGGTAAAAACAGTGGTAATTAATGTACAATAGCATAAAATAACCAACAATGCAGGGAGATGGTGAAAAACAGCCATTTGGCCAGAGAGGAACTTTAAAATCTTTGTTACCTTTGGTATTTCCAGACAAAAGATGGTTTAAACTTGAGCTGACATTTTTGCACATTTCGTACATGTATATCTATTAACAGGGGAATATAGAAATGTTTTAATATTTGTTACACATGGCTCATTATTGAAAAAATAAATCCATTTTGTCTCATAACTAGCAGGTAAAATGCATAATATTCACCCCACAGTGACGTGTTGCAGTAACTTTGTGGCTGTTCATACACTTATATTACAGATTGTATTCAGGCTCCAACATGCACAAATAGATTTAGTTGCCATTTCCAAACAAAACAAGGAATTATGTTAGCTAGTAGGTTTATGGTTTGCTTGCAAACTTCATACCGACAAGAAGACGAGGTGATGCTCACAAGCTCTGGGTGCTGCCCCTCTGCAGGCTTCCAGAAACTGACCAACCAGAGGAAAGTGGACTTATTAGGGAGGAGGGGCCTAAAGAGACAAGAGCTAAAATTGCTTGTTTCAGTCAGAGGTTCAACTGGGCTGCATAATATGAAAAATGAGATAAATATTTATTGAATTGTGAGTACTGCAAAGTACAGAGCCCCTGAGTGGGTTAGAGGGGAAAAAAATGCCTGGCCACGAGTTAAATTATCTTGTTCCCACACGTTAATAACTTGAGGTAACGACTTATTATCTCGTTCCCACACATTGTATTTTCATAGTTCAGTGAAGTTGGAAAGATATTCAAAGATTTGAAATTCCAGCATCAATAACCCCAAAGCGAATCAACAGCCTACACAATCTACAAATGGCCAAAATCGTTTTTTCCCCAGAATGAGACGTCCTTCGTTCTTTATGAATTACATTGATCTTTACATGCAGCTGGCTGCCAGACTGGAGTTCAGGGACCTTTAACAAATTACCACGGTGAAAGGAAATGCTTAAAAAAAACTCAATAAAGTTACATTTATTGTTTGTAGTGCCACCAAACTCACATCACACATCAATGACCTTCCTCTGGAATCAATATATAAAGCTGGTAAGGAGCATATCACCTCTCCTTTCAAGAAGTATTTACATGTTTCAGTGGGGTTTGGCCTTAAAGGCATAGTGTGTCATGCCTTGTCATGATGTGGAAAAGTACATTTGTGTGCTTGTTTTTCACAGTCTGGACTATTGTAACACAGTCTTTGCAGGTTTTCCCAATAAATAATAAAAAAAAGTTTGACTTCATTCTAAACTGAGTAAGACAGTGTGACAGTTTTTCCATGACTGTCAGAAGTGACTGTTTTCTGTCCTGTCCTGCTGCTACATTTTATTGGAGAATTTTGTGTTTACTTTAAGTGCCATCATGCACCTTCACATTATCTTTTGCTAATCTACCCACATCAAGAGGGACACTGGGGCAGTGGCTTTGTTAAACTAATTTATTAGATATACAAAAATCTGACTTCATAGAGGCTTTTCCCTCATGCATCTCTTACTTTGTTACATTTGCTAAACTTTAAAAATGTATTTAAATATAAGCTTATGCTATATGTTTATTACATTGCACTTATTTAAATGTTTTCTCTAACATACATTTTATAGCTCTTGCCTTCCAGGTGTCCACTCTTATGTCTCTTTATTAATCTCTTTTTTCCACCCCACAATCTTTCTCCTTTCCAGATGATTACATCGTTCCAGAGAGAGCTCAGTGTTTGGGCTGCCCGGTGGAGATTGACGAGAACTCAGAGGACCTCAGGAATCCTCTTTATGCTGCCGTCTCCAGATATAACGCCATCTCCGACTCTACTCACCTGTTCACCCTGCACAGTCTCGGCCTCGCCACCAGACAGGTAGAGACAGGGTGGAATAAAATAGAAGAAATGAGGAGGATAATGTTCAAAACTTTGGTTTCTCTACCACTATGTGTTTTCCTGTAGGTGGTTGCAGGTTTCAGATTCAAGCTGAGATTTGATTTGAGGAAGACCAAGTGCGCCAAGTCTGAACACCAAGATCTCAATGAGCTGTGCATCCCTGATGAAGAGAATGTGGTAAACATGAACACTAATCGCCATGGACATAATGTGATCTTATTCAACTTGATGTGCTTCTCACCGCGTGCTTCGTGTGTTGCAGGAGTTTGCTAACTGTAACTCCACAGTGGACGTAGCACCATGGAGACACGAGCCCCCACAGGCCCATGTGGAGTGTGAACCAGGTGCACTGCCTCCCATGGTGAGACCCACATTTCACAAAACGGCCAAACATGAGTCAGCTTCTTTTAGAAATCTAATTAATGAGCAGGACAGAGACTAATGTTACCCTAAAGGCTGATTCGTGATGCTGCCTTGCTCTGGCATCTCTAACGTCATCCTAATCCCGACGCAATAATGCAGCAATGTTAACTCTTGTCCTCCAAACTCTTCGGATACGGTGCACTAATCGGTCGCACTAAAGCTGTCAGCGTTGGCGTGCTGTGAAATAACAGACCGGCAGGGGATTAGTTTTGGGTCTTAGCTGTTTGACGGAGAGGTTGTAGTGAAAGGTGAAATTCACTTTAAAGCTGCAGTGGGGTATTTTGGCCAACTGGGAGTAAAAAGGCTTACAAAACAGTAAGTTGATAAACCTGCAGGTCTGACATAGTTTCACTTTCTGCGTGTATTTAAACATCCTTCATTTATTTGGAGTCGTGTTTCTGGCCATAAAAGTCCAATTTTTACTCATATTTTAACCCGAATGAGAAAAAAATTGTGTCAATCTGTTTCAACATCACCATCTAGTTAACAAGTTGACTTTCCCACCATGGATTAAAACTACAACCACTGAGACCCTTAAAAATGCTGGCCAGAAATTAAAACAGTATGCTTAGTGCTATAAGGGAGCAACCAATATTAGTCCAATTTTGACATAAGAGAACCAAAAAAAGGCAGCTGTGTTGAGTTAATAATTCGATGTCTTGGTGCAGTAACAGTCAGAGTTATTTGATTTGAGTATGTCTATTTTGTTCTGCGTTATCCTTCTACTACATTCATTTGACAGCTTTGGTTTAAGTTGTCCATTGAACACAACAGATAAGATAAATAACAAGCTTTTCAGATTAAACACATTGTTAAAGATTAATTCAGTGGTTTCCAGCCTTCTTTGACTTTTTCAAACAGCAAAAGCTCTGTAAGTTGGTAAAAGCTCCACTAAATACAGATTTTTTCCCCCCCCTCTAAACATCTAAAATGGTTTAATGTCAATAATTGTCAAAATGACCCAGTCTCTGCAAAACAGAAAAAAAAAGTTTCTATGTCCATATGATGATTAGAGAAAAAGCCTTAAAGCTGAAAAAAAAAAATTGTGCATCAGTCCTTTGTTTCCTCTCTGTTGAAGCAACTGTTAATAAAAATGTTTAAACCTGCAGCAGCTACAACAGTAACATGCTTCACTATTAATAATATAATGATGTCATATATATCAGTCAAAGGGACCAAACCAGTGCTTTTACTATAGTACTTCAATTGCATTTTACTTGAAAACATAAGTCATTTTGCCTCAGTGGGGTTTACATGCAGGATTTGTACTTGTAATGTAGCATCATCTCATTGCTGTCGTGGTACTTTTAATTAAGTAAAGGATCTGAATACTTCCTTAACCACGGCCTTGATGACATAATGCCTCGCCTGCTTTTCACATGTTTTTGGTAGAAAGAGTAACATTACAAAGACGCTTTCAGCAGACAGCTTTGCCAATTAAGGTTATAAATCTACTCATTCAGCCACATGTCCATCTTCTCTTTAGTTATACACCAGACGCCGTCCTCCTGGCTGGTCTCCACTCAGGAACCTTCTGTACAATGTTCCCTCATCCTCCTCATCCTCCTCATCCTCCACATCTTCACCTCCTCCTCCACCTCCACCTCCACCCTCACAATCCCCCTCCCCAACTCCGACCAAAGAGGAGTCATCTGAGGAGGACACCACGGCCTCCAAACCGTCTGCTGTGCCTATCGTGACCGTAGATGCTGTGAATGACAACCCCTTCCACTGTCCGTCCAAGCCCTGGAAAGCTTTCAATCCCACTCCGGCTGCAGCACCTACGAAGGCGTCTATGGAGGTGGCCTCTCCACAGCCTACAGTGGAAGGAACCTTCAGTGACAAAGACCTGCTGGCATAAATCTTCTTTATATTATAAAACAAATCTCACTTGTCACGCTCTTCCAACAGATTTTTTGTCTTTTTTTAATTTTTTTTTTTTTCAGACAAGTTTTCTGTTACACTGAAGGGATTTTTTTTTTTTTTTTTGAGGGATCATTTTCAGGTTTGTTATCCAAATTTAAAATAATTAAAGCAAATGGTCAATGCTAATAAAATAACCAGTAACTCCACAGAAAGCAGAGGAAAAAAGGACTGAAATGACAGACCTCTATACTTCTAGAGCTCTTACATTAATTGCTGGTTCAGTATAAAACAGCAGCGTCAGTTCGGTATCAGTTTCCTTTAAGTAAATCTAGTTCATGGGTGATTAAGTTCCCCTAAAAGGGGCCACTGGAAATCTGTCATTCTCAAAGGGAAAACTCTGAAATAAGAAATAAAACTGTTCTGTTTGCTGGTTTTCTGTGTGAATATAAATGCAGCTCATCAATAATGCTTTGAAATGCTTTTCCTTCTTTGAACATTTCCAATAATCACCTACTGAAACAATGTTCACAGGTAGAGTTCACACATGGAGTCCCAATCCTTTAACAAAGCTCCTGATTTAAAGGAATAGACTATCTGATTCATCAGCAGTTGGAAACTGAAATAATGCAACAAATATGCAAAACTATGAGGAAGTTATTTTACCTCAAAGCAACAGCCCTGAAATCAAAACAAAATCAAGAATTTATGTCTCTGAGGTTAGAAACAGCAGAGACAAGCTCTACAAAAAGCCATTACACATCAGTCTTCAATAAAGACAGGTTTTGGAAGGACGCCTGCTGCACAAATTGCAAGAGAGGACAAGTGCAAGAGCAAACACAGCTGGGTGAATCTTTAACAAATTTATTTGTACATCTTCACAGAACACTCAGATGACCAGTCAGTCAGGGTACAAACCTTTACTCTGTGACCAGCGGGCCAAAAATGAAACACAATATACATTTATAAATAAAAACACAGGTTATTGTGAGGGTGAACCTGTCCTACAAACTACAGGGCGCAAACTTAAGGCATTAATTTATAAACGTCTGTATGGCTGCCTAGTAGACTACATAAAAAAAAAAAATCTAAATGTAGCAAGAAGAATATTCATCTTCACCCAATCTCATGCAGGTCGGCTGTGAGAAACAATACATTGGCCCATTGTACATTCATTCATAGTATAGGTTAAAGTTCTGACAGCATGGCATGTTATGGAAATATATTAGTGACACAATGTAATGTAGTTTAGAGTACTGCGTACAGAAAATATCATGAGACCACAAACCATTTAGTCCACATTTCCAAAAAAAAATAAAAAAATTGGGACATTTCAGAAGCCTAGAAACTGATCCAAAATGATCAGTATTGTCATTGATTTGTCATACTTTGTCTTTGATCTGAGGCAGATTTTTCTCCTGCAAGTCTAAGAGTTCAAAACCCTCAACATCGATTCTGTTAGCAGCCCATTCAAAGTCTCTTTAAAAACATGTTTTGTTTTTAAACACGGACAAAACTGTGAATTTGACAGTTTTACACAAAGATACACAGATTAACATTTTCCAGCTGTGTTCTTTAAATATCTGTGGGGGACACAATAACACGAACAAACCGTCAGCCATCAGGTGAACAAAGAGGAACAGGAACAGACACCTTCAAATACAGACTCGTCTGACGGTCACTAAAACAGCACATTACAAGCTTCACAAAGGGAGCATTAACTGCATGTATATTGCACTGAACCGCATCACACTTTCTGGGTGTTCCTGTTATTGTGTCCAGTTTGTCTTGGAATCAGAGCACAGATCAAATGATTGTGTTAGCAGAGACAAAAGTAAAGAGATTTCCTTCCTCGCTCGATTTAACTTTTCAGTATTTCGCTGCACACAAATAAGGCTTAAAACAGTCGATCAACAACTCTTTTTAACTTCTTTTAGCAAACTAGCAGATAAAACCAATATGTATCATTGTGATACTCTGTATGTGTCTCCTGCTGATTGCTGAGAGTCGAGCTGGCTTAGCAACAAAAACAGAAAAACCCACTTTATCTGATCCTGTAATAAACAGATTTGTAAAATCAGAGCCTGTGTTTTCATTGCTGAGCCACGTGACAGTTATAAGCGACAAAGCATAGGTGCCACTAAAGCCTTCACTTCAGGGAGGAAAAATTAGTGCAACAGTTACTGCAGAAGTCCTGCATCACATCAACGCCAAAGTGGGGGATCACAAAAGCTTTGAAACAAGCTTCTAGGAAGATTTTAGAGCAGGGTCTGGACGCCATTCTGATCATTCTGAGTGAAGATTATTTAATTCTATGGGACCTGTCACAGCACCTGATCCTACAAATTTGGCCTCAAGCACAACTTTCGTCCTTCATTAATTTAAAGTAGTCGTGTCTTCACTCTGAAATGTCGGACTGTGGCATCAATAACATTCACTACCTGTATTGAACAAAAAAGCCTTTACACAATGCTTCAGCCTTCGGTGCTTATATACAACACACACACACACACACAGACACACACACACACATTCGCTCTCTCACAATCACCACTAAATAAACACTGCACCCCCGCATCTCAGCTCTAAACCAACCAAATACAGCTGTGGTTCTGATTCATGACAGTTCAAGTAAAACATATACAACATATGTATGAAAAAAGTTTCCCCTCTGTTATGTGTCCTTACAAACGATGTAAAAACTTCAGCATTTTTTTTTTTTGTTTGTTTTTCTTCTCTGGCATAAACCAGCCAGTGAAAAAAAAAAAAAAAAGATTTACAAAACATTTAAAGACACCATCACTGCAACAGTTAAGTGTCATCACACACGGACACATGGACATGTACATACATACATATATAATGCGGGTTTTCATTGGGGCCTGCCAATGAAGCTCTGCAACCTGTACAGAAAGACAGTTAATGCATGTGGGCACACACAATCACATTCACACCATTTGGAGGATACATGAGAAAGGATATTAAAGACAACAACACTGAAGGTTCGTCACACATGAAGCCTACCATAGAAAAAGAGATTAGACTGTAACTGTACATACATACTGCTTAATGCTGCTTCAAAATGTACATCATACATACTGGTTATGCTTCTTGAGAAACATGCATACTAGGCTAACGTTCTGCTTCTTTCTGGACAAAAAGGCATTGAGAACTAGAATTTTTGAAGTGCATACACCAACTTTTTTCTTTTTAAAAGACTGCAGCTGATATGCCTTTCTGCATGATGCAATTCCAGCATTAGCTTTCACAGGCATCCGTGATGCCTGATTTGGCACGTTAAGAAAACAAAGAAACAGTGAATGAGAGAAGCGCTCCTACTGTGTGTTTAGTGGAACTGCATCTGACTTTAGAGAACAAACATGACTGATGCAAAAAGATGAGTGCACACAAGGTCCATGTTTGCTGTTAGGTACATTCTAGCCATTAATGCTGCTATAATATGGCATCACATACGTGTGGCACATCAGAACAGACCACAACTTTGGCTTTTCAATACAATCAACAATTGAACTGGCAAAGTGTAGACTTCCTTCACCGCTAACACCTCGACTTTCAAGCTCTAGGGTCACTAAGATAATGATCTAGCTATATGCACATCCAAATGTCTTTCTTGTAAAATACTACGTTCTCTCCTCAGCAAAGCACACCATATGAGAGCTTCTCAGTTCAACTGACGACATCGTTTACTGCCACCTAGAGTGTGGTGTTTATCTTTTAGTCTATGCCAAATACATGTAAAAAGAGAGTATTTTCAGATCAAATTTCACTCATTTCTTCCTGTAAAACATGTAAATATTTTAGATGACACATGTTGTATGCATAAATTATTCATGAATAATATGGCATGACCGTGCCGATCAGTTAACCCCACCCTGCTGCAATGTGTGTCTGGTTGTCAGATGACAAAATGTTGTTTACCCTAATGTGCCTGAGGTCTGATTTATTTATTTCATAACCATTCTCTGCCCCCTGACCAAACAGTACAGGTGTAGGAGGTTCAGATGGAGACCAATCCTATAAACAGACAGATGACAAATTAAACATAAAAACAACATAAAGCGTCTCAGTAAAAAAGCATTGGGTCATCAAAACAGCTTCACCGCTCCTTGGTGTTTTGATGATGCTGAATTCTGGTGACGGAAGGCTATAGATCAGGTTTTTCCTATAATTTGTCACCCATCTGCAGCCCCATAATGCTCTTTATTTACATAGCCACACCCTCTTTGGATCTGTCCAACCAACCTAAAAAGATCTGTTCAAATCGCTCTCGTAGCTAAACCTTGCCCACAGTGCTGTTTCATTTAGATGCTGCAGCTTCACTTTCACTGAGACTCTGTGTAGAACATGGCTTTAATGGTACCTGGCAAAAGAAAGTATGGCTCTAATACTGCCATGGCTATGGGCTCAGTGAAAAAATATTCACTAAATGCGTCATAAACACATACTGAGATGCACTTTGTCTTTGAGTCAACAGTTTACAGACATTCTAATAGGAGACAAGCTAAAACCCATCAACCTAAAATCTACCTTTTCCTACAAACCTTGCTTTTGGACTAAATAGTGCTGTCATGGTTTGCTTACTACAGCTTGCTTAGGCAGAATTTGTGGGGCTTAATAGTGTGCAGTGTTGTGCTGTGAAGCCAAGGCATTTTATCGAGAGGAAGACGTGACATTCCCCTGGGCCTCTGCTTGCCAACAAAACAGACAGCCAGAGGCTTAATATAGGTCCCATTATTCATAAAATGTGAGACTGGCACTTTCACTCTTTCCATTTTACATTCCCAAACAAATTATTCTGAGTACGGCTGCAAAATAGCCACAATGAAACAAATCGGGCTGCTGATAAGGCCAAATTAGATGTATAACTTAAAACAGACAAGAGGCTTAAAAAAATAAAAAGGGGGGAGGGGGCATCAGCAGTGTTAATTTATATGATATGATGCAAAACACCAGAATTGAGAAAACAGGTGGAAGAAGTTTCACTCATGGTAGTTAGAAAAAGCTGCAAACAGGTAGCACAAATACATGAAACTTCAAATATATTAAAACCAACGATAGTATGTTTCGGAGGAGTGAGGATTTGCCTTTGTGGAAACTGAAAGAAACTAGATACATAAATAAATTTAAAAAGTCATAATAAATCTGTATATTATTCTGGTATTTCTAAGTGCTGTTTTTGATGGAGAGGCATCATCACCCTGAAGTTTATGCAAGAGTCTCAAGCTGCACCACCATTTCCCAAAGGTGGAGCGCTGTTTCATTGAGGCCGTGGGAGACTGTCGAGCTGTGCAAAACAACCCAAAGACTCTTCCGCAGTTTCTGAAATTTTTCACATGAAGTGGTAGAAGGTGGGAAAGCTGACGCCAATTCATCTCTGAAGGGCGATTTTACCTCAAAGATGGTGGAAGACATCATAGAAGCTCCCATATACCAGTAATCCTGTACTGTACAACAAATTTGAGTAATACTGGTATTACATAAAATAATTTAGACAGTTCCTTGTGCCCGATATCTTCTCAGCAGTGATAAGATTTGAACAAACGTTTCCCGAGCAGTTTCTCTCTGGGTTGGAGCCACAGTGCAGCACGAATACAGCAGAAAGGTAGCAAGTTGAACTTACTTTGTGGCTACATTTATACCTTGGCACATATATCTTCTTTACGTCGTTTTGTCCAATTTGTGTTCTTCCTCTGAGAGCAGCAAAGTATGGGGGTAGAATTTCCTTGGTTTCCCATGTTGTTCCATTTCAGGGGGGGGAAAAAAACTGTGGAAGCATAGTAGAAAGGGATGTGATCATCAGCCAGATAGGGCACATCTTCACAGAGACTTGAGGAAAATGCTCTCATGTGCACCATAAAACAAGTGGAGGATAGTGTGAGGGCATCACTGAGAACACAAAAAAAGGCAGATAATGATGCCAAGAGAATGGAGAAAACAAAGATGTTGTTCGAAAAAATCGAAACTTCCATCATCAGTGAGCTGTTTGTGGTGTCTTCTGTAGAGGAGAAGGGAAACTCCATGAAAGACGATGCTGCATCTGGCTGAGTGAAGCAAATACTCCACGGTGGGACGGTTGATTTTGTGCGGGGGGGGTGATCAGTTTAGTGCATGCTGCCTAATTGTGTGGAATATCCAGTCCATCTTGGTGGTCCACCCTCCATGGTGAGCATCATTCATCTGTTTCATAAAGTAGTCCAATGCCTCCTGCACAATGCACAAGAAGATGAGAGGGACTGAAGAAGACCATTCAGAAGTTGTGCCAGTCAAATGTAAAACATGACGACAGTTTAAAATTACAAAATACACTAAATATAATTAGAACAGTACAGTAGGGTAGAGAAAAGCCTACTTACCTGCTCGCTTTTTTCCAGGGCTAGTGTCTTTCTGATGTAGGCAATGTCATCAAATGACTGCAGCTCAGGCATGCCAGAGCCCAGCATCATGGAGAACAGGTTGATGAAGAGGTTGGCATGCTGCCGGATAGCCAGGTAAGCTTTATAACACATTTCCTGGAACCTGGAGTGAGATGGGGAATGTGATAAAGACAAATGAAAAATTGAAAATTGCTTAGTGGCAGCAGCGCCAACAATTATGTAAGTGTGAGCTAGACAAGCTGAGTGAAAATTTGTTCATCAGGGGGAAAGTAAGGCAAGAAAAATCTGCTGTGCTGCGTAAAGTAAAAACAAAACGACAAAGCAAACAAAAAAGATCAGACTTAATCAATTTAAACTACTGTTTTTTATTCCAATACGTTTTAACAATTTTAAGAAAACAATGTACGAGTTTTCCAATTTGTCATCATTTGAACACAATTTATAAAAAACACAAAATAGTTTGATGTGTCAGTTATCCATCTTGTCTCTCAGTAGGACAAAAATCATTGTGGTTCGAACAGCCAAGTAAGTACGACAGTAGCAGGTATGAATTTAAAAAAGAAAATGAGATACAACAACTAGAGAAAAAGTCAAGATGCTGCAGTACCTCTCAAACTCTTTGGTCTTTGTGCACTCTTGGGATCCTTTGCTGATGACGATGAGGAAGTCTTGTGTCAGTACAAAGGGCACTCGTTCTCTCTTGTAGCCAAATTTCTTCTTCTTGTGATCCAGGAAATGGCCAAAGTCTATATGAAACAACTGAAGGAGGGCGAACAAAGAAAAACAAAGAAAGTCAAAGTTGAGTTACCTTCTTACAAGGAAATCTTTCCTGTCAAGTTAAATCCAAACACTACAGGACCCACATGAGAACAAGAAGCATCAATCATTCATCACCAATATCAAGTTACTTTACAGAGATAAGCTTATGATTTTATCAACCCAGCATTGGTTTATACATTTTACTGTACATGCACCGGACAAGAGCAAATCCCTGCTAAATTTAATTGAAAAACAAAAAAATAAAAAAATTTGGACAGCTGACAAAGCCATTTGTGGCTGTCCAGTCTCTTATCTACTCTCCAAAGTACAGGTGAACCACCATGCCATCTTCAAGCAGTTAAATCAGTAGTTACACAGATACTATAAACACAAGCTGCCAATGTTAATCCATCCATCCATCCAATATCTCTACAACGCTTAATCCTCATTAGGGTCGCGGGGGGCTGGAGCCTATCCCAGCTGACTCAGGGCAAAGGCAGGGGACACCTTGGACAGGTCACTGTCTCTACACTTAGAGACAGACAACCAAGCACACTCACATTCACACCTACGGACAATTTAGAATCACCAATTAACATCAACATGTTTTTGGACTGTGTGAGAGAACCCACGCTGCACAGGGAGAACATGCAAACTCCACGCAGAAAGATCCCGGGTGTCCTCACCGGGACACGAACCGGCGACTAACCACCGAGCCACCTTACAGCCCTGCCAATGTTAATATAATTGCAAAATTGCAATATTGTTTTTACAACAGAAACAGAAAAAAGTCATGGAAAACAAGGAAATGACATATTCATGGATTAACTAAAAGTCAACACTTCATTAAGAGAACATAAAATTTTAAAGACTAATGCCTATTTATTCCCTTCGGACAACAAATGTGCTTAAATCTGCCTGCAACTGAAACATTATGCAGGTTAGTTCATACTGTACGCTATAAATGTGTGGATATACAAGTTACCTGTCCATCGTCTTTGACCATGATGTTGCTGTTGTGTCTGTCTCCTATCCCCAGAATAAATGTAGCTACACAGTAGCCAGCACAGGACCTTGTAAACAGATCCACAGCCAGGTCATACCTGCATAAATGCACAAACATACACACATGCCAGTAAGAAGTGATACCATTCATTTTGTATTTTAAAAGGAAATTAGAAACTAGTAAATATTTAAAATTCAGTTATACACTGTTGCCCATAAAGTTGGAATAAAACATATATTTTTTTTTACCTCTTCTTGTGAAATGATTGTGACAATGTCATTTATAATGGCGGCGCGCATAGACGCAGCGGCCCCTTCAGGAGGCAGCAACAGTGAACGTTTAATGTCTTGCCTATCCCAGACATGCATTCCGCAAAACTTGCTGGTTGAATAATCCTGAAGAGACGCTCTCTCATCTTGCCTGTACTACTGTGTATGTACAGCAAAATGACAATAAACTTGATTTGATTTGATTTCTTGATAGATAAAGTGTAAATCTTCTCAAAACTTTATTGATATCAAAGTATACAAAGGTATATAATATATATGTATAGTACAAATCACAGGCAAAATTTAACCACAGTTAACTTTTGCAAACTGTATTCAGTCTAAAACTAAATTGGGGGTATTGAACAATAGGATTAAGGGTTTTGTTTACATTTTTCAACCTTTGTCAACTTAACAGGAAACACATATTCAAGGGGGATTTCATGCATAAGAATGTCCAGTGTTACTCTTTCAAATGCCACTCAGTCACTAATATTGAGTATGGGCACCCCTGACACTGATCAGTGCATTAAGACATTGTGACATACTTTCCACAAGCTTGTTGATGGTGTCAGTGGGCAGGATGTCCCACTCTTCAGTTAGACTCCAAATTCAGAATTTGTTTCACCTGGTAACCAGGACTCAGTATTATAATCAAAAATGACTATTGATGTGTATGAATAGAAATAAAAATAGGAATGTGTCTGAAAACAAAAATTATTCCAACTTTTTGGGCAACAATGTGTAAAGCACAAACACAAACTAAATACGGACAGAAATAAATCAGGGTTCCTACAGCTAGAAGCAAATTACATTAAAGACTTTTTTAATGTTACTCAGAAACTTGCTGATGTAGACCGTCTTGTCGGATGTGCAGAAATTTAGGAATCCAGGAACATTGTGTGGAATAAGTCTCCTACTCCCTCATTAAACTTGTAGGATACCTCCACAATACCTCTGCTTTCTGTGCAGGCGTACACCTGAACGTTATCTGTTGCTGCTTGCCCTGGGGCTGGTATGAGACGTGGGGCGGAGGCGTGGTTTTCTAGGATAGAAGAGAACTGGGATATACCTGGCATCTGTTAGTGGGTAGCCTTGCTGTTTTCTGTGTCTCACTCTGCATGTGGGATTCCATTCCTTGATTCCTATCATGGAGAGTTTGAAGCACTTCTCCACAAAATACATTGTGCCTTGTATACACTGCCTGGTGCCAGTTTAAGCCAAGCAGTGAAATTTTGGTTGAATATGCTGCTTTCATGGATTTTCCACTTTCCCTTGTCATCCCTAGCTAGCAGACGGTGCATGTGCTGTAAGCATTCGGGCCGCAAGCATAGTTATGACTGTTGGTTCACTGCCTAGATCTGGGTTGTAAATCCTTTTTACAAAAATAACTGTCAACAATTATTTTAAGATCCTAAATTGCCGTATCAGAAAAAAGCAATGCACAAAATTCTGCTTCCTGTGTCTGTAAATCCTCATTTTTAAAGATGTCTTAAGGATCTGCAGGAACCCCGATAAATTCCCCAAGACTTTCTTTTAGGATCCCAAAGACACAGGACTCTAATGGATATTGATCTATATTGTCTAATGAAGCAGATGTAGAAATAGTATCAGGAGAGAACTCACATCTCGCCCTTGTTCTTGTCCCTGAGCCACTGATGCAGAGTGTTTGAGTTGAACTGCAGGGCTCCTTTCAAACCTCCTTTACACTGAATCTGCATGATGGTGTGGGAGCTGCGAACCACCTCAATAAGGCCCACACAGTCTCCTAATGACAGACATCCATAGGGCAACATCCTGGAGACACACAACAAGTACATTTTCTTAGCCTCATTATTTGGACGAGAAGGAGTGCAATAGAGCATAAAGTAACTGAAGCACGAGAACACAAGAGTGAGAGTAGTACCGTAGGTCCAGTCCTTGATTCTGCCAAATATTCTCCATGATTTTAATAATCTGCAATGTCAGCATGTCCTGGCGCAAGTCTACAACAAACACACACACAGTGACAACAGTTAATTACATATTGGCTAAGGAGACGTTAGTCAGATTGAAATAGACACCTGAGCTTTCTAAGAAGTTCTGCAGCATCTAAACGACACTTATGCTGCATCTTTTATAACACAAATCAGGAAGCTTTTAGAGTTTGTCACATCATATGAGGTAAGTCAGAGAGACACAAGTTCAAAAAAACAGAGCTTAAGTTTTTTTATTCAGTATTCAAGCCTGTCACTTATGAAAGCATCACAAAATACTGGGCACTAATAAATTCATGTAAATACTATGACATTAACACATGTTTTTTAGCACATGTTTTATATCTGTCTTTAGAAGCCGGTTTCTAGCAGGATCAGTATAGACAAGAGTGAACAGAGGGTAAAAATAAGGCTTAATAGGAAGTGTGGGTATGTGTGTGTGTGTGGGGTGGTGTGTGTGGGGGTGTGTGTGTGTGTGTGTGTGTGCGCGTATGTGCATGCATTACTGCGAGTGACTTACCATCTCCATTTTTGAAGATGATCTCATTATTCTGAAACAGCAACTCGGACATGATGTCAGGATTCTCCCAGTTTAACCACAACGGCCTCTTTGCTGATGACATGATCCTACATTCATCTAACCTGTGCACAAATCAAAACTTTAAGTCATTAAACCATCTCAGTTTCTTTCATCCAACCCCATTGCATGCACACACAGGCTCATTCTCCACTGCTGCTGACCTGAGGTTTCCCAGTTGATGTGCAGGGTTGAGAGGAGAAGTAAAGTTCTGCAGAGCATCCATGTAGTCTGGTCTCTTCATCTGGTCCACAAGAAACCGCATCTGGACCTCCACAAGAGACACACACAACCACAACAATACAAATGTTTGCACTAAAATGTGTACATATGCATACAAATGCACCCACAGATGAAATCTTCGAAAGGTAACTGGATTTGTATGAAAGCAAATTACACAACAAAGCTAAAAATATCAATGATCACAAATTCAGATGCTCATTGTTTTAAGAATGAATAAAAGAAAAAAAAAAATTAAATGTGCCTGTGTATTTGCGTGCTTTGCTAGCATCCTTACCTTCTGTGTCTCATCCTTCTTCTCTTGTTTAAGGATGTCAGTGAGGTTTATGAGCTTCTCCATGGCCTCAACCTGCCTGCTCAGGTGTTTGAGGTACATGCCACAAGCCCTGCAGTAAGCCTCTAACAGCAGCCCAAACCTCTGGCTCACTGTTTTATTGTGCATTTCTGACCTGTGCAGAAGCCACATAGAGAAGGATAAGACAGAGAGTGAGAAGCAGGGAGGCAAAATGAGTTTTTAGCCTTCTGGAAAGATCCAGAGAAAAGACAGTACATAAATACGAAGAAACAAAAAGTGACTCACTTGAGATGCCAGAAGAAGAAATGTCCTATCCTTTGATTGGTCAGGGCCTTTTTGAGGAGAAAGCGGGCCAGGGGATTGTCAAGATACTGCTCATATTTTAATACCTTAAACAGGAGGAGAGAGAGGGAAGGTTGGAAGGAAAGAACAAGATGCACAGAGGAGGCTCAGATTAGTCATTTCACACTTTATGATGTCTCCCCACCATGGAGTCTCTGTACACTGAACGCAAAACACCACCTGAGGCAATACAGACCAGAAAGTCTTCAGCAAAAAAGAACGAGCCAAACAAAATCTACTTTCAAACAAAAGGTTCTCAAGGACACTCAGGCTGAAGAAGATATTCTGCAGTCCTCTTGTGAGAGTCTCAGATACTCAGACATCTTTGCTTTTATAGTTATATAAATTAAAGAGGCCAGAGTGATTCTACCTACCTGTACAAGCTGGATAAGGTACTGGGACAGTTTATCATCAGTCAGGTATTTGTCAAGGCAGCGTACAGCAAAGTGCCTGACCATGGGGTCTGGATAGTTACAGTCCAGCAGCTCCATGGCCTGCTCAGGACGGATAGATGGCCATTCCTTTAACAGACAGTACATCTGGAAAACACACAAACCAAGAACTTTGAGAAAATGTGTGTCAGTGACAGACTTGACTGAAATTTTATTAAGAGAATCTTTCTTAAAAGAAATGCATATATGCTCTGTACAGTGCTACTGAAAGCTTGTGATCTTACAAGTTACAGCTAGACAGCTAAAATGGTGCACAGAAAGTCTATCAAGTCTGCATTTTTACATGTACATATAAACAAAGAGGAGGACTTTCCTTAAAGTTAACATAGGTTTTCAAAGAAACAACAAAAAACTGTTTTCCATCTCATTTTTCAAAAATCCATCTAAACTTTTCAGACACAGATCATATGTAACAATGTTTACACAACAAGCATGTACGTCATAGCATTACCTGTGCTACTTCATCTCTGGAATTCCATTTGACAGCGAGAAGGATCTTGGGGAGGATCTCAGGGATGTTCATGCAGTAGTGCCTGTTAGAGAAAGAACAAAAGTCCATGTGTGTGTGTTGCCAAGCTTAAATTGTAGTCAGTTGTTTTTACATATCTACATCCTGCAAGTACATGTAGAGTGCTCAGTACACCAGGCTGTTCATGTACATGTAGCTATATATGAGTGTGACCTGTGAAATCGATACCATGCTACATAGCACGGCTATGACTCTACATAAAAGAGCACTTCAAGAGCCATATGGTAAAGCAGTGGACAGTCACGTCTGCAGGCTGGGAGATTACCTGTGTCGCCAGAGAAAGTCTTTCTCCTGCTCAGTGATTTCTGACAGAGGGTCCCTGTTACTCAACTGCCTCAGCTGCTCAGTGTCACTCTCTGTCAGTGCATGATCTCTGGCCACACGATTGCTCTGAAACACAACAGAAATTAAACACTGTGAAACACAACATTATTACATAACCATCATTAAACATTGACATGAAGCAGTCATTACAAAGCTGCTAAACTGCAGATAAAATCATTATACAATCACAACAACACACAAAATAAACAAAAATACAGGTTCTTGCCAGGGGCTTTGAGACTGGCTATTTAAAATGAGTCATCACAGAGAAGCTTAGACGCAACGGCTGTTTATCATATTTAATGCAGCCAAAAAGCATCATTTTCCACATTTAAATAAACTGCAAGTGTGTATTTATGCTTGTAAAACAAGAGAAAGTCTGCAGGACAATACAAACTGTATTTTAAATGGAGCTGCAGAATAACAATCTGATTGTGAAATGTTTCCAGTAGATCCTGAGACGTAGCCAGATTGCAGCTGGAACACAATGCAGCCAGATGCTGTGCACATTGGTCTTAAGGCTCAGGCAGTTAACAACCCTGACAATGCTCTCTAAATCCTGAATTTGAGCTTTCCATTTTTGGTCATCAGTTTGATAAGCCAAGCATTAAATCTGTTAAAAAAGTTCTTTTGTCTCCTGCCCAATTATCCTCCTTAACAAAAACGAGCCTGATTTCTGACTGTACAAATATGATGCTAATCTAGATTTTAATTATGTTTGAGACAGGATCAAGTAATTTTCCGGTCAGGATCAAGTCAGATGATATTATCATCACACCACGAGTTGGGCACTCCCCACATTTGACACACACATCATGAATAACTTAACACATCATCTCACACTATTCACATCCTCTCACATGTCGCAGTAACTCCAACCACATGTCGCATTAACACATCAGAAGCCATGGTTCTCATGCCACACACAATTATTTAGAAATCTGATAAGACAGGGCACCATCTACACCAACATGAATAACTGAAGACAGTAAACTTACACTGGTACTACTGAGTCGTGCAAAAAATGTTGAGGGTAAGTCGGGTGATGAGGTTTAATTTGACCATGAGTTTTGCAGTGAATTGTACAACTGGAAATAACCACATTGTCGAATCGCTTATTGAGTTGCTTTTACTCATTTAACGAGTTTCAACAAATTAAATGTCAGAAATGAACTAAGAGAAATTATATTGCTCATTGAGAGTTCCCACAGCAACCACACAGCAGGGGAGAGTCACGCTAATCTAAACTGAGCCTGCAGCTGTGGTCGTGCTCAGTGACAGAGAAGCCCATGGAAAACCTGTGTCGACTTCCTATCCTGTCCTCGGTGCCTAAACTGTGCTTGAGACTAGACAGAAATCTGTAAAGTCTCTCATTGTTAAACTCTCTGGACTTTGGTAGCTTCTCCTTGAATTTCTGTGAGTCTGTGGTTTGGAATGAAATTAGTGGAGTTTCATTAGTGGCTTGCCTGATCGCAGCTGTTCACGGTACGGCTCGTCACAACCAACCTCAAACAACCTCCAACAGTGGAAAAACCCCAGCGGACGCTGAACCAATTGGTTCTAATGTGTGTTACAACTGCTGCGATGCCACTAATGTTTCGTGCAAGCAGACTTTCACTAAAGGCAATACTATTTTGTGGATAAACATACCACGCTTAAACACTCTCATGTAATACTGACACCAAAGATGCAATAACACTGAACTATAATTACATGTGAGTGTGTGTCTTACACAACACATATCTGTGCTTACACTGTGCCAGGTGAGAGGATGTGAAAAGTGTGAGATGATGCGTTAAGTTATTCATGAAGTGCGTGTCAAATATGAGGAGTGCCCAACTTGTTGTACACGGTGTTATGATAACATCATCTGGCTACGATCGAAACTAATTTAGCAGATTGTCTCATTAAGTGTACAATCACTTTCAGCCCTCACACATCACTGACAAAATATCCCGGTGCAAACACAGGTCTTATGGAGAGGAAATCCAAACACCATCATTAATATCTTCATCTTCATTGAGTAATTCTGCACGTTTTCATTGAGAAAAACTAATCTTTGAGCTCTGTTACTTGAAAAATTAAATAGGTCATTTTTAGTGTTAGTCCTTATTGCATGATTTCACACTCTCACCCACCTGTCACCAGTACAACAGTTTTAATGTTCTCCAAACGTACAAATCCCTTACATTCCTGTTCTGCTGTATGACCAAGGCCTCCTGTCCTTATGCAACCTCAAACCGGTAAGCTCTGCTCTGGTCTTTGAGATGTCAATTTAAGAGGCATTTCCTTACATAAAATCCTCAAAACACAGGGTGGTATGTTATACATTATGGAATTTAAATGTGTACGTTTTGAAAACAAGTAAATCAAGTTTTAAAAATCCAATTTTAAATTTGTTCATAATTTCATCCTTGAGGGCAGCTAAAATAGGTTTACAATATTCTTCAGTGTTCAAAAAACACAGTAGTTTTCTTATATTGTACATTGCTGAGGCACCTCGTCTCACACTCTGTCTGAAACACTCTGCTTTAGCCTGTGTTTCTTTAAGGCCCCCCTAGAGAAGAGCCCAATGTACTCCGATTGGTCAGCTGGACAACGTTGGTTAGATAACTCCAGATTCTCTGCAGACACAGCCACAGTCCTCTAAAAGCTTCTTGCTGGTAACAAAACTCCAGAGGTCAACTGTACATGTCTGAAACAGAACTGGACATGGAACAATGCAATTCAAGCACTGCAATCCATAAACATCACAGCTACAACATAGCTCTCACCTGGGGCCATACAATTAAAGCTAATGCTAACATTCACCACACGAGTTGCACAATATGCTAACACAAAGGAGATTCCTATTATTGTGGGGACATTGCAAAAACAAAAGTAATCTACTAAGTCTATACTAAGTCTCCAGTTCCTAAAATGCTGGGAGTGCATGAAGACTCTTGTATTCCCCTCTGAGCCAACAGCAGAGCATTTGGTATGCTTTGCACATGTCTGAGACATGAGACATTTTAGTGTCAGCAAAAGCATCTCCAGCAAGGAAAAAAAAGCAGATTGTCTGACAGCTGCTCATTCTTTGTTTTAGTTGAAGCGGGTGCTATGCAAATGTCCTAAATGGTGACGTGGATATGTAACAGAAGGAAAGTCTGAAGTTCACGCGAGGCCCTTCAGACAGGTAAGGACCACTCATTTCTGGGGAAGAGAATAACTCCTTCTGGTGAGGAGCTTGAGCTTTGTAAATTCGCAGACCTTTTACATGCATGAACAAACCTGTAATATAACAAAGAAAAGGTAAAAACCCCGAAAGCTTAACATGGGTTCTTTAAAAACTAGCTTAAGTTACCTGTCCTGAGAGGTTGTAGTTAAAACCCAGTTCCCTTGAGATGGTCCAGTTTGCATGATCTTCCACTGCATTCATGTCTGGGTATTTGACTGGACTACTGAAGTGGTCAAATTCCAGCTCCAGACATGGCGTTTCCTGGATAATATAGATTAATCAATATTATCAGATTGTGTAAATTATAGTATCTTACTAAACAGTTAAACTACCAATGAAATGAAACATGTCACATTCTTATGCCCCATTTAATATGAAATTGTTTTGTTTTGTTTTTTACATTTTCTTTTTTACTTAGAACAGCACGATGCAGAATACCTTATTGGGGTTAGATCCAGTGACTCCTATGGGGTTGAGGAGGTCCTCCAGGCCATGAGGAACAGGCCAGAGGTTCAGAGCCATCTTGTTGGCCACCAGAGTGTGGGTGTAATCAAACAAGTTGATGTTACCCCAAGCAAGCGGACAATGCTCCTGGGAAACACAACAGACACAAACACAGCAAGTAAATCACTTTGATAATTTCACAGAACTTTAACAAAAAAATATGGTGCAAAGTCTTATTAGGTTTTCCCTTATTGGTAATTGGTGCAGATATGCAACCATGTTGAAGCTTTCCATTGGTGACGTGATATTTGACGTTGGATGATACTTCAAGGTCAAACTCAAAGTCAGAAACTTTGACTGCACTGTTACTTGAAAATGGCTCAACACAGACAGATTGTTTGTATCGGAAGCCATATATAGGCTTCTCACTGGGGATGCAGGTCAAACTCAAAGTAAAAATAATAATAATAATGTAATGTATATATGGATAGTACCCATTTCACCTGGGACAACCAGCCAACCATGATTAGTGAAAGAAAACATTCTGTTTTAGGTTAGACAGAATAATGGTTTACTGGGGCTCAGTGGGCCCCCTCTAGGTTTTACAATGCTGTGGATTTATGACCCTCAGTCCTTACTATCTATTTATTATGTATTATCTATTTTATCTATTTAACTGTACTGTTTACTGTTTCTGTCAACGCAACCTTGTAACTCCCCCCAACAAAGGCTACAAAAATGTAGATCACAGTGACTTTTCACTAAGGGTCAGCGATGGAACCAGGTGACAAAGAGCAAGAGAGCAGCAGACAGAGTTACATGAGGACAGCCAGTCAAAATGCCCCTATTTATAGTGAGTGCTGGAACAAAGGGCGGCTGTAGAAAAGTGTCTATCTTTAATTCAGGTGGGGCATGAAAGAGCATCCGCTAACCTGACCTCAACCTAGCATGGCACAGCAGGAGACAGGACTCACCCCAGGTGTCTGTTACAATATCCATGTCTGGCATTCATTGATACACTCCACACTCACGCACACACACACCTCTCTTGCAGCTTTTCCACCAAAAGGTGACGAAAGAAAAGTTAACCAACATAAATGTCAAAAAGTTTCAAGTACCACACTGACGTCATGAAAACACTGACACACTCAAACAATTTCACACCTCATGGTTTCAAACACAGCAAAATGTAAATTTCCCCTGTAAATCTGATGTAAGTATCAAGAATAGAATATGCCATTGCTTAAAACATAGCACAAATGGATTGATATCAAAAATGTTTTTTTTTCCCCCCAGAAATAATTAATTTAATGTATTTGTATACATTTGTATATAATGTATATGTAGTTTCCAACTTTTCAGCATTATCCGAGTATTTTTGTTTTTCTGCTGAGTCTTTAGTTTAAATAATTTCATGTGAGTTTGGGCTACAACAATTACCCCCTTTCACACAATGCCCTGAATGTAGCTTGCACGAGCGAAGCATATTCCTACATGAATGGAAAAGTCCCTTCTGCTGATTGTGTTTCTGTTGATGTTTTCTGCCACCACAGTGCCCATGGCTGATTAGTAATTAAACAGAACCAAAGACGATACCACAGCTTCCATTCACCTTGGACACATATACTCAGACAGACTGACACACGGTGTAGAGGAGTTTCATACACGATGCACAGGCACACAAAAGAGGCACTTATACATATAAGTCCCTCCAGGATGGGATAGCATACCATTGTTTAGGCACAGGCCACCAGCTGTTTCCCATCCTTAGAATGAGATAACCAATGCACTGTCTGCCTGTTAGCGTTTACCTTTATTGCCATTAGGTACAGATGAGCTTACATTTGGTATATTTGGGCTCTTCTACATATTTCTGACTTACTGTTTTCACTCTTTCTAAATACGCCAAACTACTTGACTCAACCTTTTTACTGTGAAATTGTAACCTTAAGTATTTTCTTTACTGACATCTAAATAGCCTAGTAATGTATTTCTGTCATTGCAATTCAACCTCCCAACTACAAACTTAGGAAGCACTGTGGATTCCTTTCCTTCACTGTGTCCTATCATACCTCCTTGGCTCCTTTTCTGCCCTTGACAGAGCAGATTGAGAGGCACAGTCTAGCAGCACGGGGGATGTCTGGGATGTACATATCATAGGTGAGCCACTCATTCCACCTGCAGGAAGAAGAATGGAGATACAAAGACAATTAGATAAGCTCTTGCACAGAAAATAAAGCAAACCTCATTTGCAGGCCTACATGTCAAGGTATCACCAAAAAGGGGCAACAAACAACTCAGTTCTGTGAGGCCTACCAACTTACTTCAAATTCTTCGTGCAAAAAACTAAATGTTTGAACACTGCAACTTTACACTGAGCTGATCTGATCTGACCGTGTATTTGTAGCAAAAAATAAAAATGTTAGATGTTTCAATATCACAACTGTTGTCGTATATCGTTTTATTGTTTTAATAGACTGTTCCACAAAGTATTTGTATTTTACCTCAAGTACAACTGAGAACCGAGACAAGGTTAACAGTAATATAATACAGCAGGTTAGTGTTTCTATCCACCCTTAAACCGTTAACTTACCCTCCTGCATGCCTGCTTGATTTAAAGAAGTGGTGTGGCTTGTCTCCAGACCATTTCAGTAAAATACCATGAAACCAACTAAAATAACCTTCACTTCCATTTTTAGGGACCACGTTTGCTGCAATTAATATTAATATTTTTCAATTGTAGTGAATTATGAAGTTTTTTTCCCTTCAAAGTAGTTAATTACCTGGGATTGGAGCAGGGTACCCTCTGTGTGTTGACATTGTCACACATTTGTTCACCTCCATGGTAAATGCCAGTCCTCACATATATCTACACAAAGTGAGAGGAAGCAAAATAGATCAAAGAGAAAAATTAAAGAAACAATAACAACAACAACAAAATATGACAATATTGCTCTAAATTATAGATTTTTTTCCAGACACTGGCCTGTATTTCAAAAGTAAAAGATTGCTGGCCTGTGACAGCTGTCAAACTTAATGTTCAGTACTCTCACATGGCATGCAGTCTGGCAGTTCGGATACATTTACAGATATGATTCGTGACAGCAAACCAACATGAGCTACCAGAACTGTTTGTCCTCGGTCAAGGTCTCCATTCAAATGAAAATTTGACAATGATGGTTTGTTTCAACAATATATTAGGAAGTCAGAAGGTGGGACATTGTGCATAGCCAAAAAACAGTGAAAAACAAATCTTAGATTACCAGTGAACAGTTAGAATACTTATGTCTTTAAAGAGATTCCTATTGTTAGTAATCTACCGAACTACAATAAATCTCATTTTCTTTTTTTAAATTAATAAAAGTTCAGCCCTTATACTTTAGCTATCTCTCGGCCTGTCCTACCATCCGTATCAGCATAATATGAATGGTATGCAGAGCACTGGAGCCGAGGATCACTATTTAATGTGACTGATCTACGTAGACACTGGTGTATTTCTGTAAGCACCGGGTGACCCCACCTTGTCAATGTCCCGTATATTGACGTTAACATAGGTGGCACAGAGGATTCGTATTCGCAGAGTCCCGTTGATGGTCCAAAGCGACTTGGCAGCTGCCTCACCATTCATATACGATGTTGCCGTGGAGATGCGTCGAGAGTATGACGGCATGACAAAGTTGTCTGTAGGCAACTGGGTGTACAGGCTGTCCTTGGCCATTAGCATCAGGTTAGGCATCCTGCCCAGCATGATGCAACTACGGATATACTAGAAGGAGAGACAGAGAAGGGAATGACACAGAGAAGGACAGTGAGTAGAAAGTCTACACAGACCTGCTAGAGTTACGCTGTGCTTGGTGTAACCAATGATGTCAATTGGTCATTTTCCAGCAGCAGCAGAGTGACCGTGGAGGAAACAGTGACACGTGTGTCTTACTTTGATCGGGGGGGAATTTCTCTGAGTATGAGCTCACAAAGTTACACGAGTCAGTGGTTCCAGTGCCTTATTTCAAACAATGGTGACATTTTAACATATCCTCAAAGTTACAATAAACAAACGATCTGAAATAGACCTTCTGATACTAATTAATTTAAAACTGTGGGATCACATTCCCTATTTCAGTTTTCGAGACGACAAAAGTTTGACAGCATCTAACCACAGCACATGTATTAATGGGTTTTCGTGGAGAGAGGCCCCAGCTATGCTTGACAATATATCACTTAAGTCTTCTCCACTGTTCATTCATGTAAGTCAGCAATGGTGAGTCAGTTTTTTTTTTTTTTTCAACCGGACTCAGTCAACTGTCCCATTACATCAACACTGGAAAGTACATTTCAGTTTTTTACATAACACTTCATATTTTTAATTAACTGGTTATGCTTTAAATATGTATTTGCCCATCTGTGCCTTACCTTGTACTGGCTGATGGGGTACTTTTCCAGCAGGTACTCATCACAGCCACAAACTTTGAGGATGTATTTACCCTGATATTCCTGAACACACATCTTTAGCTGCTCTGGGGATAGCAGCATGCTGCGTGTCTTCTTACGAATGGCCTCTGCAATCACCTTTAGGACATGATATATGCAAACAGCGTACATTAGGGGCATGTAGGGCAGTCTTTAGTACTGAACGGCTTTACTGAATAAGACATTGTGTGCTTGAAGCTGATACACTAACAGTGATATCTTTCAGTGTTTTCACATTGAACGTATAAACCAAAGTGGCATACATAAAAGCTGTGATGAAGCATTCATTTTCTTTTCATTTTAGTAGATATTCACCTCACCTGTTCAGGCACACAGTCGTGGTTGATCTTCAGTGTATACTTTTGTTTGTCATTGTTCGGAGAAACAATCACCCATATTACAACAATAATCTGACCTACAAAAAGACAGGCAGAAAAACAGACATGGAGGCTGAGAAAAAAGAATCAATAAAACACATTTTCCTGAAGCAGCAACACAGAAACAGTATCCCAACATTAATTATTCTGAGGTCTGAGGTTATTGAATCGTGTACTGTGCTTCTTTTCTATTGTTTTAATACAATAGCATCACACTAGTAGCACTTCAATCAATCCATTGATTCCTTCACTCATTACCATAGATCAATGGTAAGGCGGGCTGGTAGTGATTAAGTATGATGGGGGGTAAAAATGTTTACTTGCTCTCTGTTGTCCTCCTGCTGTCTTTAAGTGTTTTCTTTGTGTACAATTCTCAGAACTAGAATTACTGCCTTGTGGTTGTATTCCTCTGCCAACCATTCAACATGCAGTTAACATCCTTGCGCATCCAGTAGTGAAGACTTTGAAGTGTCTAAGTTAACTGAGAGAAACAAATTCCTTGCCATGTTTGGCCAATAAAGCTGATTCTGATAGAACACAAAGTTGGAGCCACAACAGCAGACAATGCATCAAATATGGATGTCGCTGCAAATGAGCTATAAAACACGAGTACTTCAAGCACATCTTTAACTCGGCAGAACAGAGAACCTATACAATCACCACACTTTCAAGGTGGACACCCAGTAGGAGTGTCACCAATTCAGTACCTGACCAAATGTACAATATGGTCACAATCTCTCTTCTCCTTCTGTTGCTGTGTCATGGTATTGAATAATAGTGTTACTGCAAAAAACTGCGCTGTCACCATGATGCTGACCTTTGAATCTAAAATGTCATTTCTCTATTCTTTCATTCCATTATACATTTGTGGAAAATGTTGTCATAGTTATTGAATGAATTCTTACGCCATGGCCAAAAACACATTTTGCCAGATGCTCTGACCATTAAATTCTAATCAGGTCATTCTTGAGTTTAAATGAACGTTTGTGCCAAATCTAAATAAATTAATTTAAAGGCATTCCTTACTGATTGTGTTTATCGGAATGGGACCAACCACCAGATGTAAGCCGAACCCAAACACATACCACTTCTGGCCAAAACCAAACCAAAAAAATTAAATAAATAAAAAATTTGTATTTACCGTGGTTCTTTTCCTGTTTCTAAAAAAGCCCTAAGAAACGTCCTGTGAAACTGGTTAGACCCACGCTGAAACAAAAAATGAATAGACAAAAGCTGTTGCCTACCTTTGTCCAGTTTGCTATAGATGTGTTTGGGAAGTTCTTGTGTCGACTCTACATTGGGTGGGTAAACATACAGCGCTCTGCTGTGAGGCCCACTGGCATCCCTCAACTCCACAGAGTCTTTACAAACATTCAGGATGTTTCTCCTGAAGTCCTGAACCTCGGGGTCCTTCACAAGGTCAAACTCACACACTGGCATACCAATAGCAAAACCTATCAAAGTACATAGAAACAACAGTCATTTTTTAGTCTTTTGAGATAAGTTTGGTTATTCCATTTAGTTTATGGTTTCAGCCCAATAACATACCGCTGATAGGGTTTCTCAAATGCCAGAGAGATTATTTTTTGATAAGCACATATATTTTAATAACCATTCTACAACAAAACTAATACTATAAGAGGAGAATAACTTCTCACCAATCTCCCTATTGAGGATCTTTTCCTCTCTGTTGCCAACTGGTTCAATGACCTTGAGGAAAGGCTGGAAGAGTCGGAGGTCACACAGCCTCCGGGTTTCATCGTAGAACTCCTCCCGCTCTGCTTCCTGTAGGAACGGAACAAATACTGAGGATGTGTTCAATACTCCACTTTCTCTATTTCATGAAAGCTAATGATGAATTGCTGTAGGAGCTGGCACTCTTCCTGCAGGTATAGAAAGGATGTTTTTTGGAAAAGTGGAAAGCACGATGTGTTTTAAAACATTTCTAAAGATAAAATTGGCTATGTTCTATAAAAACCTTCCAATGACAACACAGTGGGTTTGTCTGTAATCTTCTCAAATCCAGAGAAGAACAGTATCTGATAAGTTTTAGAGAGCTTATTTCTTTTTTTAGCAGCTAAAGCTGTCTGAAAGTGTCATACACATGCCTGTTCTCCATTATAAACAGCTGTCTGTGGGCTTTACATCCAAGTTTTAATGATGGACTTTCATGACGTTTACTTCTTTCGCTGGACACATCTACCTATCACATATTCAAACTGAGACAGAGGATTCTGACCTGTGTTACACTGACAAAGATGTAAGATGTCTCCTCCTGTAGGAGGTGATGGAGGGGATATTTTCTGGCCTCTTTAAACAGCTCATGTTTGATGGTAATGAGCGTGGCCTCACGGAGACACTCCAGGGTCAGAATCATCCCATTGGGAAGCAGGCAATCCACCAGGATCCTGAAATCACATCCAGCACGATTATACAACCTTGGTGACAAACCTCATAATTTACATGGATACATTATATTCGATAAATAATATATTAAATACTGAATATTAAATAATACACTTAAAACAGGCATGTGAACTGTGGGAGCATTTTATGTGCAATATTTTTAATATTATCAAGCTAATAGAATCCAGCATGTCATACCTGGGAGGCATCAAGTGGATGCCCCATAGCTCCCCTGAGGATGGCCTGGGAGGCATCTTCCTCTTTGTCTCCCAGCTCAGTCACACGGTTAAGCTGCAGAGCACAACCTGAAAGAAAACATGACTTTAAAGCCAGCTCAGACTCTCACAGTGTAAAGCTCAGGCAGAAAGCCACATGCAACTTAAGTCCCAGTGGTGATGCTGATGAAAACAAATGAGTTCAACTACGTTCAATAAATAAATTTTGCTTTTTCTGTTTATACTTAGAATGTTGCTTGCATCGTAACTTAGTCTAAAGCTGGACACACCAAGAGATACATGCTGATCAAAGATTTAGGTGCAAAATACCCTCACAGTACCCACATTGTTTATGTGCTTTGTGACTTTAAAAACTCCACTGAGCAATTATATTTAAAAAATAAAAATCTAATAGTGACCTAATGAGGCAATTGCTGCTTTGCTGATTTAACAGCTGTTTTCTTTTTTTTTTTTTTTTTAATCTGGCAAATCTATCTAAAAAAAAGCTGCCAATTACAAATCTGACAGCTTTTGGCCCAAGGTGAGCTGCTTTTAGTTGAAAAGTTGCCAGTACTTCCCGTTGGCTCTGCATTTCTACCTACTCACTGTGATTCAGGCTCAGCTGTGCTCACTGAGTTAAAGAGAACAAGCATGTCCAGTGAAACACACGGATGCAGAACAAAAACATAGTCAGTGACTAAATGCAGAGTCGCCAGAACTGACACACTTTACTCTCTTTTTTTCTCACTCAAGAGTATATTACAAACAGGCGGCACATAAGGTTCTTTTTTGGGATATAGATTTAACTCATGTTTATTACAGAATATTACTCCAGACCCACACTAAGTGATTGATCACAGAACAAAAAAAACAGAACAACACGTTATATGCTAAAAAATGCATATACAGCATGTGCTTGCATCTCTAAGCATGTGTAAAACAACCGACCGGACTGACCCCAAAAGAAGAACGATACCAAACACTTAAGAGGAAGCTTTGCACGCCTGTGTTTTTGTGCATGCATTTAAAAGGGAAAGGGAAGAAGTAACTTCATCTCACCACTCCTGTCACACTAGTTTTCCACTGGTCTCTTGAAAATTAATTTTAACGCATCAAGCAAAGCACGCCTGTTTGCTCCAACCGAGCCATGCCAACAGGCATAGAGTGAATTTTGTATCATGCTCACAATGTTTTCCGTTGGGATTCAGTCATATGGGTTATTCCTGATTAACTGCCCCAGTGCCTGAAATTGCACTGTTATACTTGCAATTGTAAGTAATTTGCTGGCAATGCCAAGTCAAACCTTATGTCTGGGATAGTATTTGCTATCCTTCATGATAACTGACACAAGAGTTTAAGAATTACTCAGCAAAACCAAGCGAAACAATTGTGATACAAGTCATACTTCTATGGGAGTGACAAGAAATAGATTAAGTATTTCTCTGAAATATGCATTAGATTTATCCATCTGATGTTGACCTGTCTTTCTGTTCATGTCCTGTTCAATCTGAAAACATCCCTTACTCACTCAGCCTTAGATGGAATCGTGCTTGGCACTAAACACAAAGACAAAAGAAGACACCGCCTTTTTGGGAATTCTGCCAGGTCAAGTGGCCAACTGATACTCTAAAGGCAAGATCAAATCCAATAAAAGACCTTCATCAGAAGACTTGCAAGCCAACAGCGCTATAGTCTCCTATACCACTCTGACCAGTAATCAAGTTGTAGCAGCCTGAAACAAGATACCTGTTCTCCAAGGTTCAACACACCCACACCTGCTATAACATTAGAAAGCCATATAATGATGACCGCATATTAACCACACCAAAGCCACTTAGACCTGCATTCAACCCTGGTCAGCTCAAGGGTAGAATGGCCTAGACTGGCTCCAGACCTCTGAATCTCTGCCCACAACTGTGAGTGTCCTTCAGCAATTCAAAAAGAATTAAGTGAAAGTAAATGGCAATTCAGTCCAATTACTGGCTAAGAAAAGCCAGGTCAGACATCACACTGACCCACTCTAATGCATTTACATCAGCAAAGAACACAGATTTTGCTGCACATCAGTGTGTCCTTCCAAATGTAAATGCAATGAAGGTAGAAAGATGAAACCGTGCTTGATGCAGGTGTACACAAAAGGTCTGCTCGCCCAGATTCAAGATGGATAAAGTTTTTGAGTCCATCTCTGGTCATGGTTTTAACCATTAAAAAGTCATCTCTGTGTATCAAGTAACATTTTTAGGTGTTTTATTTTTTTCCATGAAAATAACCTTTTGCCTCAAAATTGTCTAGAAGTACAGTGCTTAATAGATCATCCAGCATCATGAAGTGCTTTAATTCGCTCTCAGCTCTCGATGTTTCACTTTGAACAGATGTTTCATTCTGAACAGGAATGAGAAATATCAAACTGAACTCACCTTTTTATACCCACATTTGAGACACTGGGCAGAAATTAATCAAGCAATTTGACATCTTTATCAAGAAATAATAACATGTTTTTTTATTTATATATATATGCTTTGGGGTTTTTTTGTATACCAGTAAATTTAAAAATTCATGGATAACAATATTAATTATATTTTAGCATTTAATGTAATTTTGGTTAAAGAGTTTCTGCATATTGGTGTATTAACATTACAGAAACAAAAATATATTCTAGTAATTACCAATGCTGTTAATTTAAGGCAGATGTGGCAGATACCTTACATTGGGTGATGGCCTAATACATTTGTTAAACACTGTAATACTACACTTCCTCTAGAATTCGCCGATCTATCAAGTCCCTGCCTCCCTCTCCACTCACTGCAGCTACAGCACACCAGCTGAAAAATTACTGTTTGCTACACAGTTGTAATACTGGAGTAATTCATCCATAAATGTTCCACCTATAAATCGATTCTAAAGAAAAACAGTGGCAGGTAAAGCTCCGCCCTGCAAGCTGACAAGGTGTGTTATGTATGAAGTCTGAACCTGTGTTTTTAGGACTGTCATCATTACACTGCAGCTTCCAGGTGAAAATACTCAGACGAGGTGTTGACTGCTTATTTTGGTCATAGTATGTCTTCCAGCATGCAAAAAACACCACATGGACATAGCGGCAAGGGGAAAACCTTGATTTTTATTGGATTGGGTCACTTCAATAGAGTTATTAAACATATACAGACTAGTATGAGACGAGCATGAGTTGTGCAAATGTGTGTGTGTGTGTGTGTGTGTGTGTGTTAAGCAGGGGCCCATATACTGTAAAGGACAGGAAGGTCTTCCAGTAATCCAAGTAGATCTTTTACTTCAAGGCAATAAAGTTATTTAAAGGTGTGAGATGCAATAAAAGTTAACCTGGTATCTCTGAAAGTCCTTTCCTTCATTTTACCTAAATGTATCATTATCATTATTATAATTATTATTATTATTATAAAAACACATATTTAATCTGCCTAAGTCAGACACAGACACTAAACTGTTTCTTTTCACTATAGAGTATGACATGCCCACCTTATTGCAATTGTGTTTTTTAACCTTTATTCTGTAAATAATGTTGACATCTACAATATGTGATCTACATCTAGCCAACAACAAAAGATGCATTAAATGTCAGGTATGTGACCAGATAGATACTGTCAGCAGTAGAGAGACTTTTAAAAAGAATGTTAGCCAATGCTAAGTACAATATCATATCTGTAATTCATATTTCTCAAGCAAAATTACACAATATAAAATAGCTGGACTTTTACCAGTCAGGATTAGCTCACTCAACCTTCTGTCATGCAGTACCAGGAAATGAACAGTCTTTGGAGACTTCAGTGACACAACTACTTGAGACAGACTGGTAAGGTCCAACACTCAGAAACACAAAAACAACACAGTGACTCAACCGCAGATTGAGACACGGTGATGGGAAAGTATGTGTTTGTGTGGGCACTTAGAAAATGACAACATTATGTCTTCAGTTCAATTTCAGCCAACTGATGACCATTAACAAGTCCCAGAAAAACAATCTGGATGTGAAGAAAACTAAGAATTCTTATCACCTTCATTCATTAATTCACAACAAGGAGTGTTTTGGGTCATTTGTACGGTGCAATTGTGGCAGCTTCTCTGTCTGGAGCTATTTACACAGTATAAACTAAACATCTGAAAAAAAAAACTAGATATTTCTGAGCAAAAACAGCCTCTACTAATATTCCAAAAACCAAACTAAACCCTCATGTAGTTGTATAATATTTCCTCACTTTTATCTTATTTACAATATCAATATTACTTTCACACACCCCTGCTCTAGATAGCAGAAGTCTGCGCGTAACATAATATCAGCCCCTCGGTCCGAGATCAGATGGAGCTGTTAAGGGACCTGGCAAGATGCCCTCCTGCACCAGACTTTGGAAATGTATTGAGGGTCTGACCAGCTGGGAGGGCACCCCGGGGCACATCCAGGACATGCTAGTAAGGTTCGATCTTTGTAGTACTGAAGCCTCTAAATCACAGACTTCATGTCACAGTTTTTTAGGAAATCAGATAGGTGTGGTGTTGTGCACACTGATGGCTGATGGTTGAAAAAAACAACCATGCCAAACAAATACAACTAAAAAATACAATAATAGCACAAGCATAAATGGGAAGTTAAAACTGACATACAGAAATTACATTTCCTGAATTTTAAAGGACACCTCTTTAAATTCTGCGTCTTCCGTTGATCAAATTGAAAAAAAAAAACAGCAAAAGGGAAAAGGAGCCAGTAACATGGAGTAGTTGGGAAATCCCACAAAGGGAGCAGTTCCCAGCTGGAGGAAGCTGCTAAGAAACACTATGTCTGGACTGCTCAGCTAGCCCTGTAGCAATTAGCAAATGAATTGGGGGAATGGGGTTGAATTAAAAGTAGTCTACATTAAGTCTAAAAAGCAACAGTGAGAAAACGAGAGAATAGCACCCTCTGAATTTCTGACAATAATGCTCCAGCTGATGGACAATTGTCCAGCCAGTTAACGTTTAGAGTTGTGATAGAGACGCAAGAATAGGAAATTAATAGCGTATGAGAAAGAAAAACAGAAAACCCCAAATAAAAAAGGAGAGGTACCATTGAATATGTACAAAAACAAGCCAAAACACAAAACTCTCTTAGAACAAACCACCCATTGAGTAGTTCTGCGATCTGTGACCCTGATCAGGATGCAGCTAAGCACTTTAGGACAAAAGAGGAAGCTTCCTCACAACACAGGATGTGGGGAGTGGGGAAACATTGGCCTAGACACAAGCTTGCTTTGAATACTGTCACACAACTACACAATAGTTGTGCGGGCTAATCATGGCAGGTTGGCAAGATCAAACATATGCTCAGTTACTGCCACACATACTCCAATATATTTGTGGTTAACCAAAGGTTTGGCCAGTTGCACTACATTGCACAACAAAGTGGTTGCAAGGAAACACTTGCGAAACTGATTGATTTCCAGTTCCATTTTCTCCATTAAATTGCAATTTCAACTTTCAAGTTTACAACAAAGATGACAACAGCACATGTAAAATGTCTCCTGGAGTGATTGAGGATCAAGAAATTAAAATGTGGAAATATACCTTAGAGAGACTCCCTCCTATTTGGATGATGGGGCAGTTCCACCCTTCATGTTTCAATCCATCTTCACTCTGTCACTGAAACAATTTGTAGAGGAGGAGAGGAAAATACAATGTCAACAACATCTCTCCCAGTCAGCATCAGTTGGAGTGATTCACACTTGCTAGCAGCAGGTTAGCTAACGTTAGGTGTTTATGGATGACAGCACAGAGATGACAACTACACCACATCGACTCCCTGATATGTAATACAACGATGAAATTGTCTAGACAGTCAGTCACCAACCTCTCTAACCATGCTGTCTCTGCTTTACTACAGCACAAACACACCTTTCGAGTAGTGTGCACCAGGTTTGAAATGGTTAACGTTAGCTCTCTTGTTCACGAACGTCAGCTAGCGGCTAACGCTGAGCCTGTCATCCCTGTGGTGGGAAAACAACACTCACAACAGGCCATATGTTCAAAAAAAAAGGTACAACACTGCGAATTTAGCACAATACCTTTTAGGGTTGCGACGTGTTTAAAGGACGCTGGGCTGAGAGGCTTTCCACCCGGCTAGTGCCAGTTAGCTAGCCTTCCAGCTAGCCAACCCCTCCGGTTCCCAACGGCCGGTTGGTTGGTGGCTCCCGGCGCCGGGCGAAAGCAGGCTGTTATCCGACTGTCAGCTCCTGCGCCAGCTCTCCGTGACAGCAGCCGTCCCGCCGCCACCGACAGTAAATCCTCCTGTGTTGCGGATTTTTTTAAGTGTAGAGTTACAGAAAAGGAGCACGGAGCCGCATGTCCAGTCAGAAGGACTCCACCTGAGGATGTTGTGAGCAGCCGAACTGCTGGTCGACTGGACAAGTTGTCTTGCTGCGACAATGCAGCCACGCTGTCTGTCTGGGCCCTCCCTTCCTCTGACACACACACAAACACACACCGAGAGTGAAACCGTGGGCTTCATCCGTGTCACATCTCCGTTGGTTAGACGTGTCGTTTCAATTCTGTCACAAAAACACAAAAGCATACATTTATTTTTAATTCATATATCCTCGCAGGACCGCATCGAATCACCACAGTGAGTTGCAAAAATAGACCATGAAATACCAGAGATGTTTCAGTGTTTGTGGGCGTGACTTGTTTTTGTGAAGTAGCTCATAATATGGAAAGACATGTAATACACAGGGAGGAAGTCACACTTAACAGCAGCTCAGAAAGACAGGGAAAGAGATAAACAAAGAACAAAAAAAATCTAAGTAAGTAAAATGAATTTATAGGAATCTGAAGCCAAATATATCCGAAAATGTGATAGTAGAGAATTATTATGCAGCAAGCAAGCAAGTTTGTTAAATAGAACCTAATGGTGCACACAGGTTATTCAAAGTGCTTTACAGGCAAAGATAAAGGTAAAGTTAAATGACTAAAACAACAGACAAGAAATCAGAAAAATCACAACATGTAAAGTATGCAATAAAATGGAAAAAAAAATAATTTTAAATTAAATGAATACCAGTGCAGAGTAAAAGTATTTGCAGTTTAGACCAGACTTTATGAAACAAAACTTATGTGAAATGGGAAAAAGCTCACTTTTAAAATGGTTGAATTTGGGCTATATTAGTACTCAAATAAATTTGGGCCCAACTTTCTTTATTTTAGACTGTCAGTATTTTATTTTAAGGTTTAGCGAGTGGAATATTACAAGATAAAATCAAACTAGTAATACAAATAGTAGATGCAATGAGGTAGGATGGATAAAGATATAATGTAGTAATATAAATAATATCCCTATTCAGGACTTTGGGGGTCTTTTGGACCCCAGGCCATTTGGTTTAAGTGACAGGTATTGTGTGTGTGTTTTTTAAGACTTTTTTTTTTAAATATAAAAAGAGGGAAATTTGTCATGTATTTGGAAGCAAAAATACATCAACTTTTCAGAAAATTTACTTAACATAGTATAAAAGCCTATAATGAATACCAACAAGTATTTTGCTCATATTCTTTCTTGGGGTTCAATGGACCCCCAAAGACCTTCTATGTACGACGATCCTGAATAGGGTTATTAATGATGATGATAAGTAATAAATAAACTAACCAGCAAGGAGGAAATGTCACACTTTACAGCAGCACAAAAGACAGGCAATGATTATTTTTAATGAATTATAAAATAAGTATAATACAATAAATATATAAAAACTGTAAAAATGTGACATATGTATCCCAACATGTGATAATAACACATAGTATGTAGAACTCATACATATAAAGCCACTTTCTAGATTTTTCATCCTCATTTTAGGTAAGCTAATATGAGATGTAATTAAATAAGTTATCTAAATAGCAGATATAATTCAGTAGAATACACTACCACCAACAGTAGTAATAATAATATCAGCACTAATAGCAACTGTTGTTACTAAATGCAAATGTAATTGTCTAAATGTTCATTCCATCTCCGCAGGATTTCTTCATGACTGCTACAGGAGGGCATTTTATTTGTCCATATCTTATTAAAATGTTTATCGCAGCGTCAGACCGTCTGTTTTCTCTACAGATCGGAGACTCATGAATTGGCAGTCCGGGTGATGAGAGTGTACCACAGAGGTGTAACATATTTATACAATGTGTCATGATTGCCACCCATGCAAAGAAGCAGCAGTGGCTTCGGAAATGGACCGTACCAAGAGGGAAAGGGACGCTGCAGGAACCTCGGCGGGGTTTACGTGCTGAAAAAAAGCTAGCTTCATGTGCGAGAATGCCTGTTTCGATGCTTAATGTGTAGATAAAATGTAATGTGTTTATTCATTAGGGATTGACATGTATTATTGCTGGCTGCCACTTGCTGGATTTCTCTCTCCTCTGGCAGCTCCCCCCTCCGGTGAGAACCACAGTGGCTGAGCGGTGGTAGGGACTGTCATCCTGCCTGGCCGCCCGGTTTTTTGGAGAGAAGAAGTTGGCACAGGGATGTTCCTGCGATGATGGCGCTGCAGCTTAAGAGCGGGGATGCTGCCTACTACCAGAGTGCAGAATACTGCAGAAACTACACTTCACCGCCTGTCAGCTACGGTGACAGCAGCCATTATCTTGCCCGACTACCAGGTAAGGAGAGGCTTGCCATGCGGGATCTCCCCCCTCTTGACTGTCAGCTGTCTTACGCGCTAATGTGCAAAGGATGGAGAAAATCTAGCAAGGGACGTTTGCACTTGGTACCGAGGAAGGTGGATGTTGAGACGGGTTGCCCCGGTGTTGCTGTCATCCTCATAATGTTATGCTGAGGGGGGTGCACCAGCCACCATTCTGCTCAGCTTATAGAGCATGGATGCTGCGATGTAAAAAAAAAAAAAATCTGAGGTTGACGAGATCCTCTAATGGTCTCTGGCACTGCAGGAGAGCTTTATAATGTCATGCTACAGGGAGGTTTGATGTCCGGCTCTAATGAGAAACAGGGTATAGCCTGAGTGCAGTGCTCACTCTCATCTCCTGGCCAGGCAGGCAGTCAAGTGGTCTGCTGTCAGAGGGAGTGCAGAAATCGTTGTTGCACCCTTTGCTCTAGCCTTTGCACTGCTTGATCCGCGCAGCTGCTGGTGACATGTGGCAATTATACACTGAGTGTTTCTTCATTGCACCTGCCAAAACTAGCTTTCACCTACCTTTTAGTAGTCCAGTATGTGTCATGAAGCTGCACAGATGAGGAAGGTTTGGGCTCCATGACAATGAATGAATGGATGAATGGGAATAATCAATCCACCTGGTAATATTCTTGTCAAGAAACAGTCACTTTGTCATCTTATCCCACTTCTCTGTCACGGTGAGTAAACGTTGTTTTTTTTTCTCTCATTTATTCTAAAGTATATGCAAATGGGAGTGAAAAAGTGTCTGATTAATGGACCAATCACCTGAGAAAAATGACGACCATTTTTACAATCCATCAATCTTTCAAGTATTTTATAAGAAAAACTGCATTTGTTGAATAGATTCTCATTCTTTGTGTGCCTATGACTTTAGTCTTTTTTTGTCACCTTTTGGCCAACAAAAAATATCTATATTTGTTGTTCATCGTTTGTATTGCACAGACTAAATGTTTATTGAGTTATTAAAGAATATAAATAGATCAAAACCAATAAGTGCAGCTATAAATATACAGACGCGTGGTTCCAAGCAAGACATCTAGCCTTACAGAAGTAAGACATCTAGAGATACTTGTTTTCTGTGAGGATGAATGGATACTAATCAATGTGGTAATAGCATCTTAATGCATTGACTTGTGTTCAGACTCTTTAAATGAGAAAAACACCTTCTCTTTCTGAAATACTAAAATTAACTTCTGGATCTTCTCCAGCGGAGGAGACAGGTAAATGATATTCAAACGATGAGTACCGCTGAGATGTAAAAGTGGATCCTTGGCTTTACTGTAACGGTACAGTAAGTAAATTTCAAAGTACATTCAGGCGTATTTGGCCTTTGCTATGTACTGTGCTTGTCCAGTGCCCAGTGAAGCAGATGGGATAAGTGCAGGAGGCATGTGCTTCTCATCGCTCCATAATTGATGTGACACAACACAGTACGGCAAGAGAAACTCTAGAGAAAATGAACACTTGGCCTATTTAGAGATTCTCAGTGGAGGCTATGAGATTATCAGCCTCCAGGACTGGAGTTTTTTTGTGTTTTGGTTCAAAACCAGCAAATCAAAAGACTCCTGAGTGAAGCTCAAAAAAATCTGACAAGCGACTGACTAATGAATCACTTCTGAACTAGTTTCAAATGAGCTGCTGATTTTTCTAACTTTGGCAGATCTTTTTTGCAACTTTTAGAATAACATCGCTCCACAGACATGATGAATATTACAGTGTTGTCGGTCTACAGATTCCTCTGGCTTCACGGTAATGTTGCATAAGCTTGATTTTGACTTGCTGAGTTGATTGTGTCCTCTACAAAACCTCAAATACAAAATGACAAATATATTTTTTTGACTTTGCTGCAAGGTCCACTGCGGTGAACATGTGAATGCGTTCTGCAGCGCTGTAGACTGCATTATGTGTGCATGGATCTGGGTCTGAGGAGAGGAGGGAACTAACCTTGACCTATCTAGCTCACAACAAAGCTGTGAGAAGTCAAAAGAGCCAAAATAAGAGAACAGAAAGGAAACTTTGTTTTTCTGTCACCTCTTTTCTTGTATGTTAGCGAATAATTAAAAACTAGTGTCTGACATACTCTGAGTAAAGGTCAGCATTACACTTCTCTTTATTATGTGCAGTCACACATTAAAAGCTACTTTCCCCCTGTTGTCATGCTCTTATGAGAGGATCTTTTTTTAAAATCAGAATATAGAGAAACATTTATTTACGTTTTTGGCTGCCATTTTACAATCTACACACTTGTAAAGAAGAAATGCTGTTTTTTTTTGGCTGCTTCTATGTTTTCTTTTGGCGAGTACAGGTAGTTCTTCATGCTGGTTCTGGGCCATCACTGCAAGGTTTCCTCTCTTGGTAGATAACACAAATGTGTTCGCAGCTGCAATCCAAAAAGCATCATAACTAAGCCCAATTTCCTTCTATCTATATTTCGATCATAATGTGGGATATCACATTAGGAAGAGATGAATACTCTGGAACAAACTCTGGGGACCAAACAAAAGTGAAGGTCTAAGCAAAATGTGAATAAATAGTCTTCTTTTTATTATTATTACTATGAAATACTGTTGGCAGAATTTGTGTGGTGCTATCTGGCAAAAAAAAAAAAAAAAAACTAAGCTTGCAGCATATTGTAATACAAGTGACCTGAGAGGAAGCTAGACTCCCTCTCAGTTCTGTTTTTATGCTTTAGGAAGTCTAACCTGGGACACTAGATTCAGCCAATCATGGGGCTTTTCTACCCAGAAAAGTGAGATGTCTTTACAGATTCCAGCCTACTGCAGCTTTAGGATTACTCAGTCCCAGCTACAGTCTAGCATATGCAAATATATGCAGCCATCATGAATGTCTCTTGTTTTTGTTGTTCATTATCACCTCTCTGGTGTTTTCACAGAGTGATGAATTAGCTGAACACAAAATGTCAGCAAGCACAAGAAGAATCTGAAAAAAAGAGCTGTTTCCTGTTTTGCTGTTGAGTTAAAAGAAAAAGAAAAAAAAAAGACTGACTTTAGGGGCTTCCGTATGCTACCATGTTTTAAGAGTTTTCTGTAATGAGAGTGTGGGACTTAAAGTTACAGTTATAAGCACAGAGGTCTTTAAGATCTATCAGTTTAGCCTAACAAAGTGTTTGGGAGGCACAGAAAGTGAGACTGGAGCTCATTTTGAATGAATATGATGACTCAATATTCACAGTAGAAGTGTGACTGTAGACTGTATGTAAAAGATGGATTTTGCCTCTCGTTTTGGAAAATGAAGCCATCGCTGAAATGCCTTAAATCTGTATTCTGGTGGCAGCTAGCAAGGGCCAATGACTCTTAATACAAGAAAGATTTTCCGATTTTTCAGAAATCTATTAGAAAATGAGTCCTCTACTTCTCCCTTGAATTATTACCTCAGGAAACATTCTCCCTAAAAGTTTATGGTCTCAGTCACTAGTTTCAAGTCTCCTTTAATACATCATGGTGTTTATTTAGTAAATTCTGGTTTCAGATGGTTTAGAGTGTGCTTCAGAGTGAAATAGACAATACAGCAGGGTATGTTTTAGGGCGGGGCTACCTTGTGATTGTCAGCTTGCTACCAAATGGGTGTTCATAACTTTCTCAGTCAGATCCCCCCTCGCTTGTCACATCTGGTTTCAAAAGAGCAAGATATCACTGACTAAATGCCCAATTCGAGGCTACATCCATCTTTTATATACAGTCTATTAGTGTGACACTTGCAAATGGATAGAAATTTACCCTTAAAGAGATAATCCATTTACATTCATATTGGAAGAATATATTGCAAAGTGAGTCAGTATCAAAGACTATCATGCCAAAGTGATCTGAGTAAACCCTGTTTGGCCTCTGTTTTGTTTTCAGATGCAGTAATAGTTTCACGATCACTGTGTAAAGTTATTAATTTTTCCACTGAATACACAAGAAAAGACAAACTACTATGTATGGAGACAGTGTAGGGAAAACAGGTGACAGCAACATCTTCCAGCTTATTTTACATTATAAGTGATATATAGTTAATTGACATAGTTACATGTAATGTATGTAGTTAGAAATTGAGAGTAAATCTACTGTGTCATGGCACAATATGTTCTCTAAAGTGTTTTATAGATTTAGCAAAAGGGGTCAGCTCTCCTGCTATGGGGTTTCTGAACTACTGCTGTTTCAGTCAAAGAGCCCACATGAGGCTGCTGCTGAAGAGAGCGATGATGTGCAGTGTGTGATTAGTGGATGTGGCTCTAAACGGCATTAATGGAGACCGCTAAGCATTGAGGTGTGGTCTATTTCAATATCAGACTGCTCTCATTCAGAAACAGTGAAAAATATTAACAATTTGAGGCACTGACTTCTGGGGGGAAAAAAAAGAAGATTTTTTTAGGATATTTTTAAAAACTTTTTAATGGCTAATTTATCATGTAACATCCAAATCATATTTTTCCTGCTCTTTTTATTCTTTTTTTGTTGTTAAAGCTGCAATAGCTTTGGAGTTTTCACAATGCACTTGAACTGTGACTTCTTTTACTCATCTGTTAATGAAGCTTGAGCTTCTGTCACGTCTTTCCTTTGACTGTCCTCTCACTGACTCACTGCAGCTAATTTTAACTCACTTCTTCTACTGTTTACGACAAGAGCTCCAAGGAGTAGTCAATTTATCCATCAGTGGTCAACTATTAAATTAATTAGCAGCTATTTTGATGGTTGATCTATTGGTTTAAGTATTTTTTAGGAAAAAGAAGGAACATATTTTCTGGTTTCTTTACTCTATTAGAATACCCTAAACATCTTTGGACTCTCGACAAAACAAGACATTTGAGACATGATATTAGGCTTTTTTTGGACCATTTTCTGATATATGAAAGACCAAACTAATCCATTAATAGAGGAAACAATCAACAGATTTCTCAACAATGAAAATAACTGTGAGTTGCAGCCCTGTTTACTACAAATACATCCCTGTTCATGCTCACTATGGATGCCTGAGAATATCTCTTAAGAATGAGCTCCAAAAACAGCAATGTAAAAACCTGTCACGAGCAGACTATATTAAAACAACACTTACAATGCCTTGAAGTTGTGGGCTATATTTATTTATATGCAACTGCCACATAATCCCACTTTAGTAATGTAGAGCCACCGCACCAGATCTGCCGAATCTTCCATAGTCTCATCTTGCAGTTGACAAGGCTATAGTAAGGTCAGGGCCTTGTCCAACATACCTTTCTCCTGAGGTCAGACAGGCCAGGTGACAGACAGCCACCGAGACGGATTGGACAGACAGACTGACAGCGAGCAGCAGTCGGAAACACAAACACCCCGAGGTGTTATTTTGGGTCCATGATTCAGTGCCATTGGGCGTACGATTGGAATCCAGATGAAAGCTTCCAGAGCTGTGAGTTTTGACACAGCTGTTGGCCTATTAGTGACCTGACAATATATGTGGTTCTACACACACACACACACACACACAAAGTGGAGAATTGGAGCGACATAAACGAACATGCACAAATCAACACAATGCACTCAACTTCACATTTAACTTTGTGTTTTTCTTGTACAGTACATCCAATCCTATGCGCACACAAACAGACCCACAGTATCTGGTTATCTTAGTAGTCACATTTCAGGCTGTCAGGATTTTACTGTCACTGCCTCTGTTTGTGTGTGCGCGCACATGGATGTATATGCGCCATCCTGTATGCATGACTGCAGGCGCTGCAGGCTCAGCCTAATCTTTCTGATGCTCGCTGGAGTGTGAAGCTCCTCTGTCCGAGAATGTGTTTCTATTCGCCCATCTCTTTACGTCTATCCTGCCTCAGGGCTCCAAGAAATAAGTGCTTTCCCTTAGCCAATGTACATTTGTCATTTGGATTTCCACCAATTTCTTTTTAAATGTCTGTTTGATGATCTGTCAATAGACAATATCTACTTAAAGCTGCTATATAAATCTGAGACATTCAGTAACATTCTAATCCAGTAAATAATTGATACATATATCTTTGCCAAAAAAGTGATCTTTAGTTGAATTTTTTATTTACCATTTGCAGCATTTTCTTTTTATAAAGCTATATGAAATAGACAGAATCTGTTTCGATGCATATTTTGACTACTTTTTTTCTTTTTAAAGATTTCAAGGAAAAAAAGAAAAACTTTTTATTGTAAGCATTTTTTTTTTTACTGTGTCCCTAATCCTCTTTTGTAGATATCAAATTTGGCTGAGCCCCCAATAAAGTTGTTTTTCTGACATATTGAACATTGGTGTGTGTATTTTGATGCATAAATACATAGAATAGAATAGAATAGAATAGAATAGAATAGAATAGAATAGAATAGAATAGAATATACTTTATTTACCCCAGAACTGGGAAATTATTGTAAATAGCAGCATCCAAAAACACAGAAAGAAAGTACAAGAAAATAACAATACTTAAGCCACATGCATCCCCAGTGTCCACACACAGCAGGTCCAAGACCCCACTGTCTCCGGTTGGGCAGTCCACATACTGGCTGAATGTGGGGAGAGTGGTAGAGAGCGATGTATGGTTAAAGTCTCCTGAGATGACAATCAGAGACTGGTCAGCCGAGGGGGGGGATGTAAACTGTAATCACCAGGACGTGCAAAAACTCGCTCGGCAGGTAAAACGGCCACAAACAGACCGCCAGCACTTCAGCATCCTTCGTGCAGCGCTGCTCTTTAACGCTAACGTGCCAGCATTACACCATCTCTCATTCACATACATGACGAGTCAACATCAAGATCAAAGTCATCATAGCACCTCTGTAACACAAAATAGGAAATAATGGTATATAGCAAGTACAATGTTCACCATGTTTATAATCTCGGTTTATAATCTTTGCATAGTATTTTTTCTAATTTGCACTGAACACAAAGAACAGTTGAGACTGACAGGAATGTTATTATTTTTGCAGGCATTTGGTTGTAACCTGAAGTCCTGGACAAATTTTAAATCTGACTCAATGATGGTCTTAGATATAAAGCTATTGGAGTCCTACATGTATTTCATTTCATTCTAATGGGTGTGTGATTCAAGTTTGATGGCAGTCTTTTTCTTTTTTAGTTGTTCAGATACTTCGCAGAAAAGGTGGTGGTACTTGTTTTTTTTAAATAAAATCTATATCCAAATGTAATGTGTATGTGTATTGCCTCTGTTGCCTGCAGGCCCAGAAACCATGTTGAAGCCTCCTCTGAGCCTCTTCAGCCATCCCCAGCAGCCGTTCCAACACATGGACTCTCTGCACCAGCTGGGACCTCCGCCAATGGCGCCTACGCAGCCTCTCGGCCCACCACCCATTGGCCCTGCTCAGGCACTTGGACCCCCAACTATGGCTCCCACCCAGACTCTAGGTCCCCCTCCCATCACTGCTACTCACACATTAAGGCCTCCGCCCATTACCCCACCACACACCTTAGGCCCCCCTCCGATGCCCCCAGCTCAGCCAATGGGGCCTCCACCGATGCCACACACCTTGGGGCCCCCACCTGTTGATCACACACAAGCAATAGTGCCTCCAACCATGGACCTCACACAGCCAATGGGGCCTCCACATCTGAATCCTGCACACGCCCTGGTGCCCCCACCTGTGGTGGCACCTGCTGCCTGTCGATTCCCCCTCCCTCCCAGCCCCTTGTCCTCGCCTCCTGCTCCAGGCCCTGATCCCTCACAGCTACCCCCAAGGCCCCCAGGACCGGCCCTCATCCCCGCCCCAATGTCCAGCCTCATCTGTGGTCCTCTCCCAGGTCAGGCAGCTCCAGTCAGCGAGCAGCCACAGGATGAGGGCTCCTCGCTGGGGATGGAGGAGCAGGAGGACTCTCTGGGGCTGGAAGAACTGTGTAAACCACTGTACTGTAAACTGTGCAACGTTACCCTCAACTCCGCTCAGCAGGCACAGGCTCACTACCAGGTCAGTTAAAGTACGCATATACAACACATATAAAATACGAAGCTACAAACAGGTGTATAATTCTCTGTCCTCATCTTTCTATCAAGGGAAAGAACCACAGTAAAAAGCTACGAAATTTCTACGCTGGCAGTCAGCAGCCACCAGCCATCAGGATCCCAGACGTCCTCGAGGCAGCTGGCCAGACAGCCCTCAGCTCAGGATCCAGCGACAGTGACGCAGGCAGGCAGGTCAGACCCAAACTCAGCACCAACCTACCTGAATGTTACAGTTTTAGTTGAGGAGGCGGCTGTACTGCTGCTGAAGTGGCCACTCTGCTGAGAGAGGTCGATTCGTCTGAGGAGGTGGGAGAGAACTGCAGAGTCACTCTGTTCCATTTGAAGAGCAGAAACTCACATTGCTGAACAATTTACTGTCTCTTCTGACTCTCTGCATTTTAAGAGGAAAATCCTTTCACGATATTTTTAAGCAAATGACAGGTGGCAAGATGTTTAATTATGTTTTCCATTGAAACAACTGCATTTCTTCAAATGTAGATTTAAGCATTAAGTAATCCTCTCACCAAATCAAACTGAATGTGTACATTTTTACCACACAAAACTGCTATATACCTGCAACTGTTCTTTGTGAGCATGACTGATCTTAACCAATGAGCCCCAAATGGATAACGTTATTTAGAAAAAATATGTAGTATCTGTCATTATGCATATTCTTTGATTAATCGACAATTTTGAACTTTAGTGCACAGATGGGATTTCTTGGATTTATTAAAAACTATCATGAGTGTATTTTTCCCAGTTGAAAATCATATGATGCTGTTCAATGAATTCTTCTCTGCCTCCCACCGGACCTAAACATTTCTTTCTTTTTTTTTTCTCAGTGTTTACTCCCCAACTCCTCTCACCACTAACACTGCGCTGTTTTGTCCTGTGTCTCCAGGCGCTGTATAAGGGGGCGCCCCGGGTCATCTTGGCCACAGAGAACGACTATTGTAAACTGTGCGACGCCTCCTTCAGTTCACCAGCAGTTGCACAGGCCCACTACCAGGGCAAGAATCACGCCAAGAAACTACGTTTGGCTGAGGCCCAGCAAAACTCCAGTAACATGTAGGTTTGGATGAAGAAATGTTTGCACTATTGGCAGCTGGCTTCATCCCCATTCTGCCTGTGCAGTCTGAGTATGTGTTGAGTATACATGAGCTGATGTCAAGCTAAAAGCACACTGCAGAATTTGCTGCTGCTTAGTAATCATATTAAAATGATCTATAAATGATTGGTATGGAAATTGGAAACGTAAATTTTGGCTCCAGCCACATTCAATGAAGAGTCCATGTACTCAGAAAACTGCTCTTTGACTTTATAAGCTTAATCAAGTCATTAATTATCCAACTAGCCACACTGATGTCATATATGATATTAGAAGTTACGTCATATTCACTTTTGTGGAATAAACTGAAGTAATTCTGACTCTGCCTGTTACAGGGAAGCCAGCAATGAAGCAGCACCAAGAAGAAACAGGAAAGACGGCAGTGAGTACCGACTGGTGAAAAACCGCCGCAGCCCACAGATGCCTGCTTCCATGCCAGGTAAAGTATTAAAAATAAACTGGAATTGAACGTAGGGATTTAAATCTGTCAGTACTTCCTGTATACTGACTTCGGTCAGTATCTGAAAAACACCTCTTTAATTAAGACGCAGTCGCATTTTGAACTTGTGAAGGTTTTATCCCATTCACTGTCAGTCTTCAAACTGAAAAAACATGTTCTTCAGTTATTTAACCAATTAGTTAGCGAGGTAAACATCTTTTTAATGTGACTATGTGCTGCTGTGTTGTATTGTAATATCAAAGCGGAGGAAATTTAGATAACAGACAGAGAAAGAGTCTGTCTTTTCTTTGAACACCCCATCATGAACAAATGTACAAATACAACCACAAAGGAGATATCGCTTAGGCTAACCAGCGTCAGCAGCTAAACAAGGCAGCTGAGTAAATGCCATCTGACCACAAACAGTCAGGTTTGACAAGCAATTAACAGTCAGCTTTTCCGTTGTTCCTTGATGGTGCTGGTCGCTGCTCCTATTTAGACATACTTAAGTACTTTATTAGGTTTTGCATTTAGCTTTTAGCAGCTCAGACTATATTTACTACACATAAAATGCAATAAATCTATAATCCATAATATCCTCTCTATGTATATATACTGGAGGAAGTCAGTTTTGCTGTCCAGAATCCAATTCTCAACTCTAATAGCTGACTGAGTGCAAGTCAATGCCCTTGGGGCGCAGAGAAAAAAAATAATCAAAAGCAGTTCTTTCCCCTGCTGATGTCACAATACGTCAGCGAAGTAAACAGCTCTCTAAAAAGATACGGTGAACACTAAAGAAAACACTAAACACTATTTTTAAGACTTCTGCATATGGAAAATTTTGATTAAAAACAGTTTTTCATGGGCATTATGAAAAAGACAGCTCACTGGATTCATTTTTATTTGACACTCCACCAGTAGTTATTTTCAACAGCCTTTGAGAGCAGTATTTGTTTGCTGTAGCAACGGTTGACAAGGAGAAATGACGTAAATGTTGGAGTTTTCACCCAAAGTGCTGTCGTTTCATTTCATTTGACCTCCTCTGGTGTTTTGGAAAGATTGACGCAAAGCTGCACCTTTGTATAACTGAGAGGGGTTACACATTATTTACATCTTACCTCCTGTTAAGGTTAGCAGATAACATTTTTGGTATAAAAGCTTTTTTTTTTTTGTCGTTATTTAGCCATGTCTTCTGTGTGCGTTTGAGAGTGTCTGCTTTCGCCTTTGCATGTGTGAAAACAGATACAGAGAAGGTAGATTTTCTTGCTGATGTCAAACAACCATCCCTTCCTTGCCGTCTCTGATTCCTTCTCCGTCTTTCCGCCGACTAAAAAGTTGGCTCTTTAGCTGAAGATGAAAAAGGATAAATCATACAATAAAAGAAATTTTATTTTCTTGCTCACTCTCTCATCCGCTCTCTTCCTCTAACAGACACCGCAAGGTTCTGCTGATTTAATCAGTTTTCTTGATGGACAAACCCTAAAATAGCTCTCCTGCAGTTGCGTTCTCACTGTCTTTTTATCTCTCTGTATCTCCTTCTCCTTTTTCTGCTGTGTTAACACACACACACACAAACAAGCAATGCTGTTTTTCAATGGTCCACCTTGATGTAATACTAGACGACTTTGTGCTTTTCTTTGTGCGCACCCTTGCACATCATGATCACACTTAGCAGTGATATATGAGGCTTTAATTAAGTGACCGAGCCGATCTGTTTTCAAATCCAGTTTTGACATGTGGCTTTGGGTGTGTCTCCAGGCTGAAATTTGTGCTGAAACAATTGCTGGAATAATCCACTTTAATAATCAATCAGCTTGTGTGAGTAATTTATAAAGCAACGAGACCAGGAAAGTGCAGCCACAGTATTGGCTCTGTGAGGCTGTACTTAAGGGATAAATGCTAAGGTTAGCAAGCTAAAATGGCCAGAGTGGCATTAGTAAAGTCTTTTCGGTTATTGATTTAAACCCTAAAAAGTCATTTTTATAAGTCTTATAAGTTTCTTCCATGAAAATACTGAGATGTAACTCTAGGCCATTGCTTCCTCTAGAATGTGCAGATCTGTGAACCGCTCACCCTTCCTATTCACCGCAGTTTGAGCACACCAGCTCCCCAACAAATCTGCTCAAACACTGCAAAACTCACTCACACTACATAATGGCAAGTTATTCTTAAGAATAATGATACAGAAACCTCCACGCTGAAAGCTGAGCAGACTGGTACCTTTGGTTTGTCACATATGAAGCTTTGAAAGTCTGAATCAGTGTTTTTGAAACTGTCATCAGTACACTGTAGTTTCTAATAGGAAATGCTCAGCCTGGGTGTTGACTGCTGACTCATGATGTGTCTTTCAGAATATTAAAAAAAAAACCCCGACATATCGACATGTTAAGGTAAAATAAACTTGAGTTTGACTAGAGGGGTTCTTTAACATCCTGATCAGCAGGTATAAAATTTACTATTGGCCTCATTTTCATTTGATAACATGTTACCATTTGCTAAATAAGGATTGATTGGATTATCATTAGTTTTGCAGAAAAGTCACCAGAGTTTCTACAGTTCCTTCCAACAGAGACTGTATCAAATGTATTGGGATCCAATAGCTGCAGAGACCTTTCAGAGAAAATCACAAATGTCAGCCTCATTGTGGCACAAGATAAAAAGTCAGGGGATCACTAAAGTCAAATAAACTAAAGTACTATCCATCCAGCCATCCATTCAGAGGGATGAGGAGAGCTGGAACCTATTCCTACTGACACTGGGGAGAGGCACGGTACATCCTGTACAGGTCACCGGTCCATCAAAGCAAAAGGCCTGACTCAGATATTTCTCACATGTAAGGATTGAGAAGAACAATTGAATATCTTTGGGCCTTTCATTTGATGTCTGTGTCTACCTTTAGCCCTACATTGGAGCATCATTCCAGCTTTCATGGTAAATAAATCTGGAATGAATCAGCCTTCGAATATGTCGCAACTTCTAACTTCTCTCCTGTCCGACGTCTCTCGTCTTCTTCCCCCCAGGGCCATACTATAACCCCAGACCGAGGCAGCGCATCCCCAGGGACTTGGCCATGTGCGTGACTCCAAGCGGGCAGTTCTACTGCTCCATGTGCAACTGCGGAGCCGAGCAGGAGACGGACTTCAGGCAGCATCTGGAGAGCAAACAGCACAAGGCAAAAGTGTCGGAGTTAAGATACCGCCATGAGATGGAGAACCTCGGCTACAGCTAAGAGACACAGGAGGGGGAGGAGGGAGAGCAAAGGCAGGGACTAGAGTATGAAGGAATAGATTGGCATTGTGAGAGTAGAATACAGGAAGGCAAAGACTGCCTTGTGTTTGAGGGGCATATTTAGTGAAGCGATTAGCCCAAATGGTTCCAAGATTTTGTTGCAATTCATTTGATGTAATACAGTTTATTTGACAGGGCACATATGTAAAAGTGGCTCAGGTGGTCAATCAGGTTTACTAAGTGCAGGACTGTTGACAGCTTCTCCTGACTGCAGGTCAAACTTTCCTTTGGCAAGACACTAAACCCTCAGTTGCTCCTGTAGGCAGGTCAGCTTTGTCCATCCCATCTGCTCTACTATAGAAAGGACAGAATAATTGGATTTATTTTATCTGGGTTTTGCTCCTGAAGTTCACTCTGTATATTGAATCAGGCTACAACATGCAGAGAAAGTGGCAGTTTTTTAACATAAAACTTAGAAACATAGACTGTATATAAAACGTGTGAAGCCAATGCGGAAAGTGCCTTAAACCTGCATTCTTTCTAACAGCCAGCAGGGGGCACCTCCTCTGGTTGCAAATTGAAGTCAGATTGTGGGGACGTAAATAACAATATGAGCCAACTTCTTACTTCATTTGTTACCTCAGTAAACATATTCCTCATGAGTTTATGGTCTCAATCACTAGTTTCAAGACTTTGTTAATACAGTGTAAGGTTTGTTTTGTAAATTATGGTCCTGTTTAGAGTAAAATAGACGAAGAAGGAGGGGATGTTTTGAGGCAGGGCTACCTTGTGATTGAGAAGTTACTAATGTATGGCTGTGCGCCATGTCCTCAAGTTGATAATGACAACCAAATGCCACATTTGAGGCTTCAAAACAGTAGTCCACAAACCAGTGGGCGACATCGTGGTGGCTGCATCCATCTTTTATATGCAGTCTGTGCTTAGAAAGAAAAAGAACTTATAGTTTTGTTCAGCTGTGAAACATCTAATTTTTGAGCCAATATCTTTTCTCATAGTTTTTCTGGTCAACTACTCCTCCAAAACTTTGAGCAGGTTGTGTTCTGACTCAGGGTACGGGTAAATGCAAATGAAATGCAAAGAAATCTTGGGCTTGCTCGGGCAACGGTACGCAGTCGGCATGGAGTCACAAAGACAGGGGAAGAAGTAAAAGGGAGAAGATAAGCGAAAAGGCTAATGCTATTAGGTCAGAACAGCTTGAGAAATCAATCTCTGAGGACAAAGTGTTTGTTTGTGACTCATTTTTCAATTCTTGTGTGTGAATCAACACTGCAGGTATTTTACAGGCCCTGCAGCAGAGACCTGAGGTCCATCTAGTGACCACGGAGCCACATGGGGCCCAAAAGAGCAAATTTAGCATCTTCATAACCTAATAGAGGTTTAAAAAAAAATAAAATCCAAAGCCGTGAGCACTACTTGCTAATTTAAAAAATAAATACAAGCACAATGAACATCATCTGTCAGAAACAGTGTTATATGAATCTGTGTTTCTTAGCTGACCTCTTAGCAGTCCTTGGTGTGTCCAGGCTAAAGGCTAAGCCCTGGCTAGCCTTGTTTGTGCCTTTGGAAGGAATTGAGCTAAAGAGTGAGCTTTGGCCAGCCATTTTGGCAAAACAGTCGAAACCAATCTGTAGTACTGACTAGGTTTTTCTATATTCTGTGTCATCTCTCCTCTTGTATTAAATCCACACTAATGTTATGTAAATATTATTAAATTACATTATAGATGTAAATATAGCATAATATACATGAATCCTATTGATTCTTTGGTTAATGTTAGCCTAGAATATATTGTAATAATCTATTTAATAATTATCAGGAATCTTGTACAAAGTGTGCACTGACTGAATGTCTACTTATCAGCACTGTATGTTTGTGTGTGGATTTCACTGTAGGCCCTCCGTATCACGCTGGATGGTGCCTTTCTTCATTGGTAAAGTGACTCTGGTACCATCAGTGTGTAGTTAAAAGCTGCTAGTCTCATCATTTGGACTATGTTGGAGGCCCATGTGCCAGGAGAGGCTGCCTCTGAAGCTGAGAGTTGTTTTTTTTTTTGATGCAGAGTACAAGCTGAATTTTTGTTTCGAGAAACAGCCAAAATGGCATCTTGAGGAAGAAACACATCCACTAACAGTGATGCGTGCAGCTGAAAGCATTTAATTCCAAACTTTAAATTAGTTTGCAAATTGCAGAGCTCCTGGATATTTCTGGTTCTAACACATATCATTTAATTCTCCCAATCAACCTTGATTCCCACAAGGGACATAACCAGGTTTTACTGCAGAGTGCTGCAGAGGAGTAACATAGACTTTGTCTGCATTTGCACACAGATCTGTTTTTTCTTTGTTTGAGGTTTTTTTTTTTTATGTTATTGTTTTTCTCCCCATATGACCCACATCCAGCTTTTCTGTCTTTAAGCCCACCCTGAAGAGATTAGCTCTATAATAGGAAACTGATAAGATTTTTTTTTTTTTTGTCTCTGTTTATTTATTTTTCTGTTCCAGTTTAGTGGTGCTGAGCTCAAGTCATTAAGCATTTGGAGTTTACAGTCATATTTTAAATTACTCAAAAATGTGTACTGTGCCTTTAAATTTGGCTATGATCTCCACTGCATTTAAAGGTGATAATGATGGAGTCAAAAAATGTACATATTTGTTGTTTCGTACTCAAAAGTCTTGTCTTTCAAATCCTTATTTACACACTGACTATTATTTAATCATTTTAATAGAAAAATATACTTACTTGGGATGACAAAAAACCACTTTATGTCACAGTAAAAATGGTTTTCCACAAGGATTTGACGACGCCAGCATGTTTTACCTACACAGCGTACACACAGTAGATTTGTTGTTCAAAAGGAGACAGAGATCTTCACTTTAAATGTGCTTTTCCGACCTTTTCTGCAGAACAACACACACGCGCACACACACTTCCACATACCATAATTGAATCAGTCAAAGGTCTGATCAGTTCACATAATTAGACGTGTTGGAAAGTGGAATGAAAGCAGCATCCTGGCTTTCTCTTTGGTTGGTTTAGCTGTGGGGAGAGGCAGCTGTTCGTATCTTCTATTTGTCTCCAGAGCACAAACACACACCTGACCACACACACAAGGACACTCAGGAGAATAGCACTGTGAGGACAAATTACTGTGGCATTTTTGGGGCTTTAAACAGGAGAAAAAGGCAGAGGCAGGGGGAGAGGCAAACAGAAGATGGAAAAATAAAATGCTAGGCTTGTTTATTAGCCCACTGTGCTGTACAGTTGTATCAAAAAGGAACAAAGAGGAGCTGATGAAAGCGGAGCTGTAACCAAAGCTGTGGGTGAGACGCAGCTAGTCAAGGAGTTTTTTCACATTAGACAGAGTTGCTGTTAATAGCACTCCTCCTCCTCCTAGAAATAACCCACTTTGTCTCACATGAAAGCACTGGTAGCATAACCTTTTATTATGTTGACAGGCTCCTGGATTCAAAATGAGAGTCACACTCCAATGCTGCTATTGAACACTTTGAGCAGGTGCAGGAAACAATAAACTGCAAAGGAATGGGAATAGTGAGGATATCATAGGAAACTAACAGACTCCTACAGACGATGCAGAAACAGCTTTCTGTGTTAGATAGTAATTTTGGACCTCGTTCCCAACCTTTTTTTGATCCCTTAGTACAAGTTATTATCTACTTGAGACCACTTATCACAGGTTATGGCCATAACTTTGACATGAGTCACGAGCAATTCAACCAAAGATTTCTATTTCCTTGTAATCTGAACACAGAGGATCCAGGCAAAACTGCAAAAATGTACACTGCTATGTAAATGCAGCCAATTTGTCTTTTACAGAAATGTGGATGAAAAAAAATATTACTTGTTAGCCTGATGATGACATTTACAAAAAATTGAAGAGCAGACTGTCTTTGTGCCACAGGGTAAGAAAGCCTCAGCTGTATTATCACCCAAATCACCAGGGGCCCCAAAATCCTCTGGTCTGGATCAAAACAAAGTTTGGTTCTGGTTGGTTTCTTTGCAAATATCGCAGCTGCCACAGGAACAAGGAGGACATCAGGACAGGGCGCAGACATACACAATTCACAGAGGAGGATGAAAGGTGGTTAGGGGTGATCAGTCGAGGACCAGTTGGCCATCTGTGTCCAATGAGTCCCTAAGACATTAATTTGCTGTGTTTAAGTTATGTTTTAGAGTAGGTTAAATTATCCAGTATTCCAGTAGAAAACAAATCTAAAAAAGTGCACATAGTGTTTTTGGGTTGTTTTTTTTTTTTGCACTGTTTTAAGCGATGCATCAGTTCCCTGCCTGTGTGTGTGTACGCACTTACACAAAAAACACTGAGTGTGTGGGTGTATGTGCACCATATGCAGGGCGTGAATTACAGAACAGCCACAGGGGAGTTTGGCTCCTTTAAATAAGCCATGAGCTCCCATGAAAGCATTATTTGCGAACTTTCGGAGAGTCTCTAAAATATTGACAATCATGAATCATGCATAAAATTAGGCCATTATTGATGTGTGATTCATGCATGAGGATGATTCATCACTAATTCACTTTATGCACGACATGTGGAAGCACAATATCTACATATATATATTTATACATATAAACAGATAAAGCAGAACTTTCCCACTCGGTCTGTGCTTCAAATTGCCATTATTCTTTTTTTTCTGTTTTGTCGAACAAAACAAGGCAGCTTAGTCACGAATTTTGGATTTACCAAAAATAATCTTAGCTAACCAACTTTGAAAAGAAATCACAAACATTAGCATTGAGCAGAATAATAATGAATAAAACAAAATTTTAAAAAAGACTTTTGAATTCCTCAAAAGCCATAGTATAGTTAGCTCATGGACCACATGGCGCCAACAGCACATCATATATGTGTCGACCTTTCACCAGGAAAATCATCGGTCCTTCAATGTGGAGCTTAAAACTGCTTAAACGTGTTAATCCAATAATATTTTATTTCTTTTCACA